GTGTAACTAATTACATTTTTCAAAGTAATTGGAAGTAATTTTTATTTGACCAATTTTTCAATTACTTGTAATTGAATATAATTTAAAATTACATTGAAAAAAACCCCCTGTAATTTCAATTACTTTTCAATTACATTTCAATTACATTACACAATACATATTATGTGTATTTAATAGGAAAACATTTCCAACACAGTCACATTTTACAGTTATTTTGATTTATTCAAAGAAGCCCTCTGTTTTTCAAAATCTTGAACTTTTTTATATCTTGATAAATGAATTTGATATATTGGCTTGTTTATAAAAATAGAAGTTTGCTTTATAATCATAATGCACATAAAGCATTAATACTAATTTAATGTTTATGAACAATTTTGTTCTACCTCTCATTGGTATGCATAGGCATGAAAACATTTCAATATTTTGCTTGATTAAAAGAAAATAAGATAATTAAATGTGTCATTGAGACCTGCCTTGTTTCCCTTCAACTCCCAGCTGTAAATTTCTATAAAAACAACCCTCTAAAGTTTTATATAATTTTACACCATGCTTTGTTTAAATTCAAAGAATGATTTATTAATTTAATATTAAGAATACTCTCCTATTTATATACTTCAGAAAAGAAATGTATATCGAATCACTATTTTAACATTTAAACAGATCTTTATTTACATATAATTATGCATTTCGTATCTGAAATGGTTATTAAATAAAACAAGTATTTATTTATTGTATGAAAATTGTTAACATTTGCAATTTAAGGTGTATAGCTTGCTTACTTGTAGCTGAAATAATTTGGGAAGTATTTTATGGTTGATTCATTAACTCTTGAAAACTCGTTTTAATCAAATTTCATAAAGCCAGTCAGTTGATAAATGTACATGTAGGACTAGGTCTTGTGTTGATGAAACACACGAACATGACAGGCACCTGACATTATTTATTTTAAATTTTCTCCCTACCTTAAATTTACATGTATTTGTTTTTCAAGATTTTTGAAAGTGAAACAAAAGTAATTGAAATGTATTTAATTACATTCTTCAAAGTCATTGAAAGTAATTAATTACATTTGTAAAAATTAATGTAATTGTAATTGCAAGTAATTTACAAAATTTTCAATGTATTTGAAAGTATTTAATTACATTTCAAAGTAATTGACCCCAACCCTGATATATATATATATATATATATATATATATATATATATATATATATATATATATATATATATATATATATATATATATATATATATATATATGATATATGATATATGCGCTTTTCCGTGTTTTATTTGACCCTGAAAAGATATACGGAACTAGGATCGAAAAGCGAAAACAATAAAGGGTGAACTCAAAAATAATGACCGGCAAATTGAATTTTTTTCAATATTGTCTATACATTTTAGTTAAAATTTCCGAAGTGAAATTGACACAGCGTAAAAAAGTTTCAGAATTTTTTATTAGTTGAATTTCATGTGAAAAAAGAAAATATTACTACATTTTAAAAGACTTTCTGAAATACATAATCAAACGAATTTGAAGTTTTTCGTCTTTTAACCTTGTTTGAATCAGGGATGTAAATGATAAGATCTAAATCTTGATTGATTTTCTACCCTTTTATATGTAAAAAAAAAAATTGGCTTTTTGATTGTTATTTAACATAAATTGTCTCAATTCTGGTTTGAAAAAAAAAATTAATAGGAAAGAATATAATACAATGAATTTTCCAAACGTTACTTTTTTATGAATTTGATCAATTCTTCAAATATAGGCCAAAACAGAAGTTCGATAAAGTAATTTTTTTCTTATAATAATACTAGATTTTAAAGTGGCCCTATTTTACCTTATTTTATTGCACTCCTGAAATCTATTATATTTTTAAGTAACATTGTTTTAAAATTTTTAACACTCAGTATCTCTTTCAAATTTTGTAAAGCAGTTCGTCTTTATAATTTTTTTTTACCTAGTTAGTGTAATGTACGTATTCATATTTTCTTGACTTCAAAATATGATTATTTGCTTATGTGATATATATTTCTAAAAATATATATTTAAAGTGATGAGGACCATTCTGAGAATTGATTTAAAATATCCAAAAATGTCTTTATTTTGTGGAGAGACATGATAATGTTTCAACTACAAATAGTATCACGTGTTTTTGCGATTCATTTTGTAGTAAAAATAGATGAAGTTCATTGAAAATTATAAAACATTTTTGTTGCACTCTGACTGCAGTAAGATTTAAAATTAAAACCACAAAAAACAAAAATTAATAAAATTCTGGCAAAATTAAGTTGTAATGAAATTGTGCATTATTTATAGTCCAATTCTTCATGATTAAAAAGCATAAAATTGTTTAACCTTGGCTTTATATGACAGATTATTTCCTGGTAATGTCGTAAAAATAGCTTAAAATACAGTAAGAAGAAAAAAAGTATATTTTATAGGACATTTACAATATGGGTCAAACACTGTTAGCATCGAGGTCAACCAAAACATTCTATTCATCTTTTTTTTTCGTTTATTCCTATTTGATCATTGATTATTCTAGCATTTTTGTTGCACTCCTGACAAAGAAAACCTGAGACTTTAAGGTAGAATTGTGAAGCATGAATTACATCAGAACATGTTCCAATTGTTTCAGTAAAGTCGTGGTGGAATTACAATTTCTTTGTGTGTCTTGTTTCTGATTTTTTTTTAAATTAGAAGAAATGTAAATAAAAACACTTTCTGGATTTAAAAAAAATTGAAAAAAAGGACAGAACTGTCCTTAATTTAGTACTAAATTATACATTATACTAATAGATGCTTATTGATCAATTAAAACTTAATATCAGTATGGATATAGAAGTCATTTCATCATTCAACTTGGATCTTTATAAAAATTTGTTGCTTCCAAGACCGTTGAAATATGGATCTGAACAAATACAGATCCTGTAAAAGCTAGATTTACTTGGTAAAAATGTTCCTTTTGTCTTTATTTTCCGAAATAGAAAGTATAAATCTATATACTGATAAAAGTTTTTCCAAGCTGCATGGGGAGGAGGGGATCAAATGCTGCACTCTGGACATAAATGGCATGCAGAGATATAGTGTTTCCAGAATTTTTTTGTTTAAAGTTTTTTTTTTCAAATTATTTTAAAAATAAAATACTAATAGTTTGAAATCAGTTTTTTTTTTGGGGGGGGGGGGTTCAAATGACAATACTTGCTACTTTCTTATTTTATATGCAATTTTCATGGATAACTTATCATTTTCTTTGTATATACTTCCAGTCGAATGCTTTTGAAAAAAGAAAGCCTATTGTAGATGTTTATTATCAAAGAATTGCAAAACTAGCGATGCTTGTGGAACACTGTGTATTCCACTATCTACTGTTGACTCTCGTGGGACAAAATTTTGATAAATGGAAAGGAATTCGGTAAAGGGAAAGAGCTGGTAGGACTAGGAATGAAACCCCATTAATTTATTCTACACTAATCGTGTTGTTCTTACTGAGCAAATATCCAGGCCTCCTTTGATCTTTGGATGTTAGTTTCCTACAAACTCTTTTCCATATCTGAATTCCTCTTCTTTTTTAATATTTCGTACCACACAATACAAAGTATATCACCAGATTTAACAATCAAAAGCAGTTATTTTTAACATCAGCAGATAACTGGAAGTAAATAAAACAAGGGGGGAAATTTCCCATGCAAACTGCATGTATCATTAGAAGGTACGGGGTATCGTCATGAAATAAATTATATTGTATAATATTACTCCAACATTTAAATTAAATGTATCATTTAAAATTCTCATTAATTTCTGGGAACACTATACTTAACTCTCATTTGTGCAGCTTGTGATGCATATAACATTTAAAACCTTTATTGCTTAACACCTTAACAATTCTTTTTATAACTGACTTGTCATACAGATTTTTTGAAATCAATGTTTTTTGGCATCATAACATTTTTTTCTGTTGCACTCCTGACATGGTATAACATTGTTTCAGCATCAGCCATGACCATGCATAACTTGCATGGTCAAGCAGAAGTTACTATACAGTCATAATTTAAAGCTAGATATCACAGGAACTTGGGTCTTGGTTTATAAATATGTACGTACCTTATTGATATGTAAAAAATAGTACTTTTTTTTTTTTTTTTTTTTTATACATATCAATAAGGTACATGTGTACATATTTATAAACCAAGACCCAAGTACCTGTGCTAGATATATTGAATTTAATCAGAATCGAAAATCTTTATTTTTATCATAAATCATTATAATTTATTTAACAGATCTTCAAAAAATATTCATTTTCAAAATGTCACAAAAAAGTGTTGCACTCTTGACATTGGCATTTAGCCAGTATCAAAAGACGCATGCCGAGTTTTTTTATTCACAAAACCCGATCTTTTAGTGCAGGTTGATATTTATGTGTTTGTTCAACTTTTTTTTTTTTTTTTTTTTTTAAAAATTTACCCTAAAGAGTGACGAAACAACGGAATGATTGGTATATAACGTACAATTAACCGTTGATCGTGGTTTATATTAGAAAGTGTGGGTATATATAATAAATGAATAAAAACGTTGTAGTTTCTTTTTTCGTTTATTAGATATTTAATTCATAATTGAAATCGCATTTATATTAATTAAGTTGAAAAAAGTAAAGGTTGAAATGTTTATTTCATATAATCCTGTATTTGAGCCATAACATTTACGGGTCGAAATGTCTTTGAGTCGAACTGACTTCGGCTGGCATTCGGTTTTACGAGCCCGACTTATGAACCATATTTGTTTATTTTTTTTAAAATCATAATGACCTTACCAATGCTATGATTTTATATCAAAGCATCCATCAAAACCATTTAAGATGTATATTCAAGTAAATAAGACGTTTCAAACTATATATCTGAGAAAAGTGAAAGAGATTGTGTTTCATGTAAATAGTAGAATCATTATTGGCCAATCAGAAAGCCAACCGGATGTGGAAATGATATTTCAAATGCGCGCCATTTTTTGCTCTTCATTGAATGTTGACATGTTGTTCTGGTTAAAAGTTTCCAATGTTTAGACTGCAGTAATTTCGATGATTGAAAAAATGGATATTATTGAAATATTTGAATCTCGCGTACCATGCCTGTCAGACATTTTAGATTTACAGAGGACCTGTCAAAAGCAGGAGCTGAAGTTTTCTCCGGACACCAATCGTTATTTGCTCTATCTCACATTGAAGAAAGTTGGACCATTTGTTGCACAAAAACTTGTTAGCAAATGTAAGTTTTTAAAATACATTTAATGTCATTTTCGTAAACAAATAAACATTTTTATAAAAAAGTTATGTTCCTGTCTGCTGATTTTAAACGTATAACATTATTTTGGACATGTGCATGAACATTTTTCTTAGATCAAAAGGATGCTGAGATGGTAAGATACATGAGGGGGTGTTTCGGGTCACAGTCTTTGTGTTGGTCAGGCATGTTCGATCACCAATGGCCATAGAGCTCTGTAGAGTACCTGGAAGTGATTGAATGTGTGGTCGTTCTCTTGATAGAATGTTCAGTAGACGAGTGTGACTAAAATGGGTGGCAAAACCCAGGCTGGGCCTGGAATTTCGAAACTGAAAACGGAGTTTTTGCCAGTTATTCTAATAATACTTAATTCTTCATCACGAAATATACAGATGTAATTTAATACCACAAAATTTGTCTTCGTTAGAGTTTTAACTCAAAATATCATATTTTTCAGTGATTATTAACGATTGACATTTTCCCGGTTGCTAAAATGGGTAGTAAACCGGGTTCATTTATTTTAGTGATTAAAGCAAATTGCACGCAGTAAATGGGATTCCTTTGTGTTTTATTATTGTTTATTGACTTTAAGAACTTAAATATTATGACCATTGCAAAAATAAATATCGATAATTAAAATAGTCACCAATTTTTTAATACCCAGAACAGGTCAAAACAGGATGCGTTTGCCTGGGAGAAACTGGAATATTCTGAAATATTGCCGTCAGATAACCGAGTGCAGAGAAAAGTATTACGATAGTAACCTATATGCAAACAAAATAAATATACAAATGGAAAAAAATGAAAAATACACCAAAAATCTTGATTTTTTTTCCAATACGAATACTTAATATGGTGGTGTTTATTATCTTAATAAATTGACAAAATAAAGACTGTACACTGTACAGCTTGCTTGGTATACAGTTATATGATCATGTGTTTAATTTAATTAAGATTGATGATTAATATTTTACCGGTAAAGAACGAGGGCGCTTTTGATTGGCATTCGGCAGGAATCTGGGTGCACTTGAAAAGTGAAAATTTCATTGTTCTGTCACATGAAATTTTAGCATTCTTTTGATGTATCAGGTTCCTGTGAAATAGGAAAGGGACATATTTTCCCGATATTGTATTTTGATTGGCTAAAAAAGAACTTGAAAATTGGCTAGATGAGTCATTTGGTACAACTGTAAAAGTTTCTTACGCTGTATTCCTGCAGATCACATGCCAAACACGCCCATCTTCTTTAATAAAATCTGCGAAATTGGCTTAATTCATGGGTATTAAGTGGGAGTTATGATTTAAAAAAAAAAAAAAAAAATTCGGAAATGTGAGGTTTGTTCCGGGTAAACGTGTCCGGTTTTGGTCGGTTCCGGGTATTCAAACAATGCATTTATTTTCAACAATTGGTAAATATTTATAAAATGGTCATAATTTGTTGGTATTTTAAGTTAATTTTCATCAATAAATTTCATCAATATTAAATACAAAACACCAAAAGATGTAAACCGGGTTTACTACCCATTTTAGTCACCAGGAAAATGACGATCTGTGATAATCATTTAAAAACGTAATATTTGGATTTGTTATTCTCATCAAAGGTATATTTTGTTGTAATAAATTACATCTGTAAATTTCATGAGAAATAAATGAGTATTTTTACAGTAATAAGGAAAACCCGGTTTTCAGTTTCGAAATTTCCAGCCCTGCCCGTGTTTTACTACCCATTTTAGTCACATTCTCAATAGACGAATTACACATTTATGTAAGTTATTTCCCTTTGCGGGGTCAATTTGGGGTCAACTGGCATAAGACGTGTTTTCCCTCTATAACATTACCAACTTATAGTCGCAAATTAAGTATGTTTGAGTATGTTCATTATGTTTTTCATGTTGCCCCATACTAAGGCAATTCAGGAACAGGTCAAAATTGTCCGATTCCGTTTGAAGGTTGGAAATATTTACAGGTAAGTTACAAAGGATATAGTGACAAAAATGAGTGTTACGCCGACAAAGGAAGATAACTCTTAAGAATGTGAAATTTGTCTATTGTTAAAATGGTAAATGTCCTATGGACCCGGTTAAATGATAGAATGCCTTCCATGTATTGGCAATGTAGCAAAGAAAACAGGGAGATAACTATAACTCAGTGCATACACTATGAACAATCCAGAGAGTTCTGAAATGTCATCATGGTGTGTAAATTTGAAATGAGTAAAAATAAGAAAAAATGTTGAAGTCTTTAATTTGTAGGGGTGCAACGATACACTAACCTCACGATACGATACGTGTCATGGTATTCAGTTCACGATACGATACGTATCACGATACATGACAAGGTTAAAAAAGTCTTTCAAGTTTGTCATCATACTTTTTTTTAACTTGACAGGGTTATACAAAATGTTCATAATTTTTTAATAATAATTAAAATAACATTTTGTAAACTTGAATTGGATTGTTAGGCCAAATAAAAAAATATGTGTGGTTCCGGTTACCCGACCGTCCCTATTTTATACCCCCGACCCTAAACTTTTTTTTGACAATTTTCAAATTTCCGGAATTTTCCCCAATTTCCCTCATTGGCTCCAGTATTAGCTTTAGTTTCAGCAATGGTGGCCTTCTTTGACAACATGGTTTCAACACGTAGTACAAGTGTTTTGTCAGTTACAAATGTCACCACTTGAAGGGAAGCAATAGTATTATCTCACCAATATCACCAATAGTTAATTCAAGAACATTCAATGATATTTTTGATGTTTAGTATATTAAAAAAAAAAAAAAAAAAAAAAAAAAAAACCTACCTACCTACCCTAATTTGTTTGGAGATGTAACCGGAACCACACATATTTTTTTATTTGGCCTTAGGTAGATCTTTGGAGTTGTGACAACATTCTAAACCAGTGATGAACATTTACAGGGAACTAGGGGACCTTTCCTAATAATCTCCCTTTTAAATTGGAATGAAAAAGGAAGGCATTCATTCTTTTATTTACGTAAAAAAAAACCAGTTGTCATATTTCACATGTTAATACGTTTTAGTCAACAAGACAGCGAATTTTCATTGAAATACACACGTGATGGAATATCGTGTATTACCAAAGAATACATTTAGGTCTAAAGGGTTTATCATTTGTCTTAACATCTGTAACTTATAATCACATTAAGTCCTTCTCCGTGTCAAATCTGAGGTCAGTAAGATGCTGGAGATGAGTTTAACTGCCGTAAATGCGTTATCGGCGACCTCACGTTTTGCGCGGAAGCCATTTTGAAATAGTAAAGAAGGAGATAAAACGGATAATTCTGGACCGATTGAACCGAACAGCGATATCAGTCTAGCGTATCGTGAATTGAACCGTGGAAAAATATACCGTGATATACCGTCAAACGGTTTATCGTTGCACCTTTATTAATTTGGATTAATTTTTTGCATGAAAGGTATCCAAAATTTCAAAATGGTTTTGATTAATTCGATGGTTATTTTCAATACAATTCCACTTATTTTTAGTCTTCACGAAAACTTTTCCAAAACTACTGGCTAGTAGGACCAGTGAATTTTCCAAATTTACTGGCCCCCTTGTTGAAAAAATGAATACAGTGCGGTCTCGTTATTATGATGTTTATTTTGTCACGGTAAAATATCGTAATACCGATGGCAACGTAATAAAAGTTTCCAATAAAATCCATTAAAACATCGTTTTGAAAGCTTATGTTATCTGCGTATTGAGGTGTATTTTTTCCATTCTGTTTTCTTCTTCCGCTCTACATTACATATCTTAGTTAAAACACTTCGACACTTTAATTTATTCACAACTTATTTTGTAAATGCATATTTCTTCATGCTGTTGAACTCCTTTTGCCTTATGTCTAATGCAGCAATCATATTTTGTAGTAAACATAGGCTATGTGCATTCATTCCCACGATCTCGCCATTTTCTTTTACTTTCACTTTCAAGTGTACTTAGACAATGCGTTCATGAAAACTTAACTGATAAAAGGTTTCGTGTTCAACATATGTTCAACCAAAACATTGGTTATTCTTTTTATTTATTTATTAAATTTAGATTTATTTTAAATAAAAAAAGCAAACTTCAGTTCACAAAACAGAGTTTTACAAGATAAATTGGCCCAAGCCATTATCCAAGCTGTTTAAACTTGGAGTTTTTTTTTCCCCAAATAATGTTTGATACCCAAGCTCTCCATTAACACAGTGTAATGGCGAACGTAGTTACACAGTGGATTTAACATGCATCAACACAATTAAATGCAACGTTTTCCTAATAAATAAGTTTTATTAGCTCACCTGAGCTGAAGCATCCTGGGGTATTGTAGATTCTAAATTGTTCAAATCATGACCCTCGGGGGTAGGGCGGGGCCACAATAGGGAATCCAAGTTTTACATTGAAATATATTGGAAAAATCTTTAAATAACTTCTTCTCAAGAACCACTAGGCCAGAAAAGCTGAAACTTATGTGGAAGCATCCTGGGGAAGTGTAGATTCTAAATTGTTCTAGTGTTAAATCCAGACCCTAAAAAGGGCATGGTAATCCAATTATCAAAAGGGCACTTTATGCAGCGACAAGTTTTCATGAGGGCACTTTTTTAACGTCTTTGAAATTATAAATATTTTCTTTATCATGTTTATGTACTTAAATTATTATTTAATACTAAAATCTTTAGTTATACAAGTATCTAAAAGAAAAATTTATAAATCTGTCATCTTAATTCATATAATACACACTGAGAGGGCAATTATTGCCAAAATTTAAATTCAAATTTTTTAATCAAGAAATTAGTATGGTTATCAAGGTTATGCTTAAAAAGTAATAGGTGTGAATTTTTTTGTCACTTGCTCAAAATTTATTTTAGTTTAGTTTTTCCTTACTTTGATATTGTTATTTGTGTATGAGGTAAATAACAGAACAAAATTGCAAGGGGGGGGGGGCTACTTGGATAATAAATGTAGAGGGCATTGTCTTTATTTTGAAAATAATCTACCAACAAAATCAAGTGAAAAGTGATCATACTAAAAAATTAAACTAGAAATAATATATAAATTGGTTAAAACTTTTTTTTCTGGCTTAGAAACATTGAGCCTCTGGGTGTCAACTCAAAAAGTTAGAACACAGAATCATTGAACATGTTGAAAGAAACTAACATTCATACTTTGTTGTTTCCTAGCCCATTTCACACATATAATATTCAGTTTTTTTGGTACTGTACATTGTAAGTTGTCTTAATTCATCAGCAGTTTTATTTTTCACATTTCTTCATCAACTCTCTTTTTACTACTTTCAATTTAAAAAAAACGATCCTGATTTAAAATGTGTAACATTTTAATTTACAAATTAATCTATCTGTGATACTGGGCTAATTCTTGCATAATCAATGCAATCAAATGATATTTTCTCGTGTTATCTCTTATATACCCCTGACAGCCTGAGGCATGTTACCTGGCCAGGTGGCTGTGTGCGTTCAAGCGAGAAGTGATTTCCTGTCCTGACTTCACACCTTTGCGTGCATTAAATAAACAAAGGGGCTAATCAGCATGCACTGAATAAACAAAGCTGCTAGTCCATCTTGCCTCTGTTAGGCATATTTATTTATTTTTGCAAGGAAAAAAGGGCATGGCGCTGGAAAAAAGGGCATGGCGCCGAGAGAAAAGGGCATGGCGCCGCGCCATGCTAGTTTGCTTTGGATTTAACACTATGTTCAAATCATGACCCCCAGGCGGTAGGGCAGGACCACAATAGGGAATCCAAGTTTTACATTGAAATATATAGTAAAAATCTTTAAAAATCTTCTTCTCAAGAACCACTAGGCCAGAAAGGCTGAAACTTACGTGGAAGCATCCTGGGGTAGTGTAGATTCTAAATTGTTCAAATCATGACCCCTGGGGGTAGGGCGGGGCCACAATAGGGAATCCAAGTTTTACATTGAAATATGTAGTAAAAATCTTCTTCAATCTTCTTCTCAAGAACCACTGGGCCAGAAAAGCTGAAACTTATGTGGAAGCATCTTCGGGTAGTGTAGATTCTAAATTTTTAAAATCATGACCCACGGGGGTAGGGCGGGGCCACATTAGGGAATCCAAGTTTTACATTGAAATATATAGGAAAAATCTTTAAAAATCTTCTTCTCAAGAACCACTGGGCCAGAAAAGCTGAAACTTATGTGGAAACATCCTTGGGTAGTGTAGATTCTAAATTGTTCAAACAGGACCCCCCGGGGTAGGGCGGGGCCACAATAGGTATTACAAGGGGGGGGGGGGGGAATCTGGTAAAGAACAGCATGGCCAAAGTTACCCAGGTGAGCGATGTGGCCCATGGGCCTCTTGTTATTATTGTAAGGAGAATTTTTTACTCATCAAAAGGGGAAATGGGATATTCAGCGGAAATTTTCTGTGGGTGAAAAATACCGAATATCGGTAGTAAATATGCCCTAGATTAATCCTTGTACATAATTATAACTTAATACATGGCAACTTTAGAAATGCCGCCATTTTTTGCCCTTTTTCGTTTCAGTAAGTTGTTCATAGGATATTTGCACATTTTACATACTTGTTAATAGTTACTAGTTAGTTCCCTTTTTATCGGTTGTTACTTCCAGGGTTAATATTTATGCCGTAATGCGTCCCTGTTACGTATAATAATTCGATACACCAACACATGCTTGTTTTTTTAATTTAATATATTAATTAAAGATTTATGCAAGCAAGATAGTTTAAATATATTTTGACTGTGTATGACTTTGAGAATCTACAAGCCCATCAGACTTCTTGAATTTTGATTTTCAATGACACAGCATCAAAATTCACTGGCCTCGGTCTTCGGATCACCAAGTTTTCGTGAAGAACTATTTGCTCTAAAATTGTTTCAGAGCTATTCTGCAATTTTTTTGGCTACATTGCAGGTATGTGGGAGTCATTCTTTGATTCAAACTGTGGTGAGGGCCTGTCCCGAGACACCAATTATTCTGACTAGTTGTTCTCCCTCAGACGCATTGGCCCTTGACACTGTTCGCCCTAATTTTCATTTACCCAGAGTCTGTTCACTCTAAAAGGGAACAAAGTTTGTGTGAAATTTAAAACCAATGCCAAAAAAACTGGCAAACTCTGAAAAAAAGATTGTTGTTCTGTTTTATTCCCTAAGGCAATCTTCTAACTTAAATCTCAGGCCATCCTTAAAAAAATGTGTGTGTTTTTTAGCAGTAACGCGACTTGTCATTCTAGTTGTGAGTAGGTAGGTAGATTTTTTTTTTTTTAATTATTTTTTTTTATTTTTATTTTTTTTGGAGACAAACATGGAGAATGATTTAAATATAGGTGGTGTAATTTGAACACCAGCATCCTATTATCCAGATTTCTTAAACTTTAAGGAATTGCATACTCTTACTGAATCATTTGGACAATTACTGTTATATTGCAAGTAATTGAGTAATTGAGCACACATCTTAATGGTTTAAGTGCATATGACCCGTCTCTGCAATCATCAGGGTCTACCTTAACCTCATGTCTTAATTATTGTTTAATTTTGATCTAAAGATCAGATCACCAATTTTTTAAATTAAATTTTACTGCAACCTTAGGAGGACTTGCATTCTTCAGCTCATCCTGCTACATTTAGTATTTCAATCCCTGTCCTTTCTCTCCATTTTCTCCCGTTCAGTATTTGAAATACTTTTAAAAACCATTTTAAAGTGAATTAATATTCAAATATGTAATAAAATTCTTATTTTAAAATGAATGTGCAGCATATCAAAAGAAATTCTTTTTTTAAAAAATGTTTTTGATTTTTTATTATTATTATTATTATTGATTGATTGAAAGGGTTTGGACAGTTATATTTAATATACTCAATGATTGATTTTTTTTAAAATCCATGTAGTGGAGTGTTTCTTTTTTTTTTTTTTTTTACTTAAATTAATGTGAAGTAGAAGAAAGTATTACTTTGTAAAGAAAACAAATCTTTGCACTACTAATAATGGGAGAAAAAAAAAACAAACCCTGAAAAACGTTAAAGTTTTTTTTTGTGTGTGTATCTTTAGGACTTATCATTCTCACCCTTCTCTATTTGTTTACTAAAATTGTACAATAGACCGTTTCACGGTAACTGCGGTACTGCTCTTTTGCAGGCAAAATGATATAGTTTGGTGAAATATGACGTAAAAGTAATTGTTAAATAAACGTTATTTAATTATCTCTCAACAAAAACTTTGCCAAACGTTATTATTTTGCCCTGCAAAAGAGAAGTACCGCAGTTACCATGAAGGGGCTAAAAGAGCATTTATGTAATATGTATTCAGTTAAATGGAAAGAAAATAACTTGTATCCAGAACTAAACATCTGTGGTCATTTACCAGGTGTATTGCTTATGTTTATAGTTAGAAAATACGACCCAATGTTGATTCCCATTGAGATTCTGAGAATTGCTGCAGTGAAAAACTAGAATCTACATGGAAAATATATTACACCTTTCCCCTCTAATGTGTTTATTAAAAAGATAGTGGACAAAAAATTCAAGACGACTAAAACCTTAATATCTTTCTCTTGAAATCCTGGCAATGTTTTAAGCACAGTGTGACAATTACGCCCCAATTCCTCCTAGCTTCGTTGTAAACGCAAGTGACAATGTGATCATAATGATGTGTTTCCCGCGGCCTTGTCGTCACCATTTTTAAACAGGTTTATCCTGATCATTAAAATGCTTTTAATAATTGTAGAGAAAAAACAAGCATCTGTATAATTGAGACATCAGATAAAAAAGGATCGGATAAAAACAGAAAGTAGATATGCTTGTAAAAAAAAAAAATATATACCTTGAATAGGTAAAAATAAAAATTGAGTTGGGTGGATTTTGGTGAATTGGTGGGGTTACCGCAAAGAAACATTTTTTTAAGGATGGACTCAGTTTTAATTTTTTTTTCACTTGCATTTAGCGATTATTTTAATTTCGGCCCATTCTAGGTCTCGCACAAAGATGGCTACTATATGTTAGTCACTGTAAAAAATAACTATAACATTCGGCCAAATAGTTATGCAGTTTGCAATAGAGAAATTTAAATTACCTTCTGAAAATATGTCTGATAATCAGCAGTTAACTTCATGCTTGAACCATTTTGTGCCAAAATTATACAGTAAGTGGTTTATGCAGGGTTGTCCCCCCCCCCCCCCCTCCCCCCAACTTAAATACTATTATAAGTCCCTGATAAGGAAGACATAAAAAAAAAAGAAAAATGTGTAGATGAAAAAATTTTTAAAAGTGCAAAACATTTTGAAAAGGTTAAATTCTCTATTGCCTTACGGCACAGAAACTTAGTTCAGACACTTGTTGATTATGAGACATTGTAAATGCTCTGAATCTTATTTTTGTACATCTTTTATTACATAGCAAATGTGTCTTTATGTTTATTCAGTGGTAGAGAAAGGAGAGATAAAATGGGATGATGATGATAACTGGGAAGTGGAGAGAATCCTTGATCATGTGGAAGAGGAGGTGAGGTTTCAGTTTCTTTCACCACTGATAGAGTTAACTTAAAACATGAAATGATAGCTGTAATATATATTTTTGGTATGCTCCTCTCTCAAACCTTGGAGTCATTTAATTCGTGGTGTTCTTTTCTTTTCTACCATCATAACTGCAGTCCAGTAGAGCTACAGTCTTATCAGAAACATCTTGTTTTTTCCAATGATACAGGATATATTTTTGATTATTTCATAACTTTGTTTTTAATTGTTTCATTTTTTTCTTATAAGTGTTGTTTTGTCAAGGGCTGTTCTCTTGCTTCAGGGCAAAGATTTCTACCTCATTAAATGGAAAGGTTGGAGCAATGCATATAATTCCTGGGAGCCCAAAGACAATTTGTCATGTGAAGATTTATTGGTAGAGTTTAAAGAATTCCAGGCCAAAGGAAGAAAACGTAGAATTGTTGATGCAGAAGATGATCTTGCTCCAAATCCTAAGCGTAATCGAGTAGATGAAATCTTCCACAAGCTAGCTCCTGTCAGAGACACGTTGTCACCAATAGGACTCATGTCATTATCTAGTCCCACGAAAAAAGGAAAGAGGCCAGTATATAGAGGAATAAATGGGAATTATGGAGAGTCTAGATTTATACCACGCAGAGCAGCAGCTCCAGGAATGAAACAGCTGAATCCAAGGTCCAAATTCTACAAACAGAAGAGAGTTGAAGTACAGAGAGCCTTAAAAGACTGGGAAAGACATTTGAATGGAATCAATACTGACCCTGCAGGGATTGTTGTAGAAAATCTAGTAGACCTGGAAGGGCCACCTGAAAACTTTGTTTATATAAACGACTACCGTTCAGGTGAGGGAATCACAATTCCTGATGACCCAATCGTAGGGTGTGAATGTGAGGACTGCCACAGCAGTCAAAAAACATGCTGCCCTACACAGTGTGGTTCAACCTTCGCATATTATAAGAAGAAAAGACTAAGAGTTGTACGAGGGACACCTATATATGAATGTAATAAGAGATGTAAATGTGGGCCGGATTGTCCAAATAGAGTGGTGCAGCAAGGAAGGAAGTTCAAGGTGTGTCTGTTCCGCACTGCCAATGGCAGAGGCTGGGGAGTCAAGACTCTGCAGAAAATAAAAGAAGGATCCTTTGTCGTAGAATATGTTGGTGAAGTAAGATTAAAACTTATTTTTGATGGTCTTCAACAAATTGTCATTTACAATTGCAAACAAAATGTCATCTAAAAAGTTTTTAGATATGAACATTGTTAAATTCATGAATCATGAAACAATAAATACTTACGTGAAAAAGTACTGCTATTACATCAATAAAAGTTTTGATCAACTTATAAATTGCTTTAAAGGTGTTAAATATCCTACTGAGCATTTCTGCTGTGATATGTGACCAGATACACTAAGGTTAGCTATTGGCAACTGTCGTGTTTTGCAGGTGATCACAGACAAGGAAGCTGAACGTCGAGGTAAGCAGTATGATGCTGTTGGTAGGACCTACCTCTTTGATCTTGATTACAACCCAGGAGACTGCCCCTTCACAGTGGATGCTGGCTACTATGGAAATGTGTCTCATTTCATCAATCATTCAGTAAGTCTTTTTGATCATACTTTTTAAAGATGTTCATTCCTGAGCTTTTGAGCAGATTTTTGTCTTGACCTCTATTTAAAAATTTCTGCATAGTTTTAGTTCCTACAATAAATTTAGATTCTACAATGCTAATTAGGGCCCCGCAAGGATTTGCAGGTGCCCTGTAATAATCACTCTTCTGTCTGTCCGTCTGTCTGTCTCTGTCCGTCTGTCATTCTTCCGTCCACAAATTTTCTGTTTTTTTCTAATAACTTTTTTTGTAGTTGACCAATTAAGTTCAAATTTGGTATGTTGGTTGAAGAGGCAGTAAGACATATTTTGATGCTAAGTTTGGTTCTCTATGTCATCCAGTTTGGAGCTGGGGTGGTGAGGTAGATTCCTTAACTTTACATTAGAATGAATGCCAGGGCAAAGAGAGATAACTGCTGAGAATGTTCCAATTGTAAACTATGAAAGCTGCAACTAGTCCCATGGGATTAATTAACTTTTCTCTTGAAGAAAATCCAAAGCATTACCTGTTTCTGTCAAATTGAGATTAATTAACACCTCTGTTTGCAAATGAAGTTTATTTTGAAGTTAAGGTCAATTCTGAATAATGTTTACATTCTCTGAAATGTGGATTTAAATAATGTTCATACTTTATATTGGTAAAATATACAATGAGTTAATGATTTTATTGAATTCTAAAAACAACATATACATAAAGATATGTTTTTTAATATTTTTTTTGTTTTTATTTATTTATTAGGGCACCGCAAGGATTTGCGGGTGCCCTATAGTAATCACTCTGTCTGTCTGTCCATCTGTCTGTCCGTCTGTCTGTCCATCTGTCATTCTTCCGTCCACAAATTTTCTGTTTTTTTTCTAATAACTTTTTTTTAGGGTTGACCAATTAACTTCAAATTTTGTATGTTGGTTGAATAGGCAGTAAGACATATTTTGGTGCTAAGTTTGGTTCTCTGTGTCATCCAGTTTGGAGCTGGGGTGGTGGGGTAGATTCCATTACTTTATATAAGAGTGAATGGCAAAGAGAGATAACTGCTGAGAATGTTCCTATTGTAAACTAGGAAAGGCTGCAAGGAGTCTCTTGGGATTAATTAACTTTCCTCTTGAAGAAAATCCAAAGCATTTATCTTTATCTGCCACATTGAGATTAATTAACACTTCTTTTGCAAATGAAGTTTGTTTTGAAGTTAAGGTCAATTCTGAATGATGTTACATTCTCTGAAATGTGGATTTAAATAATGTTCATACTTTATTTTGGTAAAATACACAATGAGCTGTAATTTTATTGAATTCTAACAACAAGATATAGATAAAGATATCTTTTTTATTATTATTTTATTTTTTTTTCTTTCTTTTTTTCTGCCTTATGTAAATTCAGGCATACTATTTATTTTAACAGGTATTCAGATAATAACCTCATTCTATCATTGCTGAAAAGGTTCTTATTGTAAACTTAGAAGAAAAGGTTGAGAGAGAGAGCAGTATAATTAATCCCCTGGGTTTGATTATCTTGCTACTTGCAGAAAAATTTAGAGAGTTATCTTTCTGTCACTTTAAGTTTGATTAACACCTTTATCAGCATCTGATGTTTGTTTTGAAGTTAAGGTCAAACCTGGGTGATATTTGCATTCACTGAAGGCTGGCATTTTAGAAAACACATGCTTCATTCTTCTTTAAATATACATTTAATTGAGTAAATATAGATATGATGTTTTTTACTGCGTTATGTTAATACAAGGAAACTATTTACAGGTTGTTGGATATTTAGCAAATGCTGTTGCTTATTCTTCTTTATATATTTTTAAATTTTTGTAATCAAGTAAAATTCCCCTCCCCTTATCTGCACCCTTATATTTCTACCCCACGGCGGGGCCCTTGCTGACTGGTCAGATTTCTAGTTTTATTTATTTATTCTTTTTTTTTTTTGGCTGCCGTTGTAAATTCAAGAATACTATCAATTATAACTGGTAGTCCAATAATAAACTCATTCTATCATTACTGAGAGAGTTCTTATTGTAAACTTGGAAGAAAAGGATAAGAGAGCAGTACAATTTATCCCTTGGAATTAATTGTCTTGGGCAGAAAATTTTCCAGACTTATCTTTATTTGTCACTTTAAGATAAATTAACCTTTGTCTGCAACTGATGTTTGTTTTGAAGTTAAGGTCAAGTCTGGGTGATATTTGAAAACACATGCTTTATTCTTGTTTGAATATACATTTAATTGAGTTATTATAGAGATGATATTTTTTACTGCCTTATGTAAATACAGGGATACTCTTTACAGGTTGTTGGATATTTAGGAATTATCGTGAAATTCTAATTTTATAAATACAGTTGTTATTGCATATTCTTCTTCATATATTTTTAAATTTTTGTAATCAATTAAAATTCTTATTCTGTAAGCTGCACTCTTATATTTCTACCCCTCGGCGGGGCCCTTGCTGACTGGTCAGTTTTCTAGTTAAAACTATATTCAATTAAAACCCCATGATTAAATTCCATACCAAAAGCATTAAGTGAGGAACTATATTTTGTGGCGGAAGGGTTTTTTTTAGAAGAAAATTATCAATTTTCTCTTTCAAAGTATTTACAATATTGTTAAGTTTGGATTCCTATTTTTACATGCAGCCTGCACATGGAGTTATTTTGTGCAGTGAAATGTTTTATGCTGGTCCTAAATTATATATTATATCAACTTCCATGAATTCTATCATCATGTTTGATAAATATAGCAAATATATTGTAAATGTCCCGAAATAAAGCCCAATTTAAGCTTAAAGTTAACACTATTTTTAAAAGTAATCATAAAAATCAACATCACAGACCCCCACTTTTAATTTTCTGAATATATAACATAATTTTAACCATTCTGCTTAAATTCAGAAAATGTCATTACTCTCATCTGATTGTATTGCTTGATGAATTTTTGATTCCAGAAAATGACATTTTTGAGTGCAGAAAGGTCAAATAATTGACTATGTGGAGTAGTTTGAAACTTTTTTGTTGTCACAAATCTTGTGACTATTCAAGATGAAAAAAAGACTTTGTTTGTTCCTATAATTCATTTGGATAAAATATTTTAGTCGAATAACTTTGAAAAATTGATTTAATATGTGTTAAACGTGTGCAAAAAGGTCATATTATTAAAGAAGCACCCCCATTTTTTGTTTTGATTTTTAGTTGAGCTATGTGTGTAGATTCTTAAAATATACTTGATAAAAAATTCTCAATACTTTTGATAGCAGGATCCAACCTTCTTAAGTTATTTTATCACATTAAAAGAATTAAACAATTTAGTACCTTTCTAAAACTTTTATGGCCTTAAAATGAATATGGCCAGGCCATAGGGCTGTGTATTGAGCAAAAACATTTGATACAATACGATACAATATTTTATAATGCAATATATTGGATTCTTTAGCAAGTTCTATAAAAAAGCCTTATAAATCATTTAATGCATAAATTTTATAAAAACTAATTGTTTTATAACCTATTTCGAAGCTCTTGTCTCATTGTCATTACAAATTACACTTCAAATTCAAAGTTAACGGCTGTAAAATCAACATGTGAAAATAAAGTTGTCTGTGTATTTTGTAAAATTCTCCGAGATGTGCTATCTCATTCATGAATATATCATTATTGGTCAATTTAATTCAAAACAGTGAAAATATAACCTTGGTGAATGAAATTCCTAACTTTTTCACAGAATTATAAGAAATTCTGCCTGACCGATACGTATTGGAAGTTATTTTTTCGATATGATACATTCTTGAATATTGATTCGTATCGATATTTTGATACAGCCCTAGGCCAGGGTATGTAATATTTTTCTGGTCTGCCATCCAGTTTGTCCATCAGACACACTTTCCAATTAGCTCAATCTCAAAGACACTGACCAAGATATTTTCATCAAATTCATATACCAATACATATTGATAAGAGGTATTCAACTGTATCATAATTTTCTTTTCTAGATCTTTCCTTTGATATTGACCTTTCTTATTCCTCATTTTGCTTTTAGCTTAGTTACAAATAATGTATTCAAGATATTTTTATCAAACTCCATGCATTGAAATTAACCAATGAAAGTTATTCAACTGTGTCATAATTTTCTAACCTTAATCTTCCCAATGACCTTGACCTATTCTTCATTTTGTGTTTACAAAAGTTTCAAGAAACTGTTCAAGATATTTTCATCAAACTTCATACATTGGTATAAATTGGACAGAGCAATCCTTAAAAAGTTAAATTTTAGTGTGAGCAATTCAGCTCTGTCAAAATTTTCTACCCTTGACGTTCCTTATTATTATAAGCCTTCCTATGTCCTTTTTCTTCACTTTTGAAGATTTTTTTAACTAAACTCTCATACAAGCATACTTACTGATGAGAGTAATTCAAATGTTTCATTATTTTCTTGACTTGAACTTTCTTTTGACAGGGCCCTCGATTGTCTGTACACCCTTGACCTCACTATTCCTTCATTTTGTGGTTACTTAGATTATAAAAGGTTCTTCAATAATTTTCATCAAATTTCATACACTGTTGAAAACAATCCAACTTTGTCACAACTTTCTGACCTAAACCAATGTCTTTGAACTAAAATTTTGCCTCTTATTTTGCTTCTCATCGTGGATTCCATTTTAATTAACCCCATAAAGGATTATTTTATAAAACTCCTTACACAGATAAATCTCTAGAAAAGAGGATTTCATCCATACCTACTTAAAAAAGAGAACATATGTATATCAAAAATTGCTATATGTTAGAATAAACTTGATACAATGAAACTTCATTTAGCTGTTAGATAGATAGGATGAATCAATACTACATACCATGCTACAAAAGACATCTGTACTAAAGGTTTCAGTTCTATATATGTAAAATATGAAAGTTACGCCTTCTCATATATTTTACTACAAGCTCAGACTAAAGAAATATATGGAGATAACGAACAGTATTCAAGCTCAAAAGTCCATTATACAATACAAAATAGGAGCAGAGCAAACACGGACCTCCAAACATCAGAGGTGGGATCAGGTGCCATGGAGGAGTGAGCATCCCCTGCCGACCGGTCACACCCGCCGTGTGCTCCTTGTCATGATCGGGAAATAAAGGAAAAATCCGTCGACAATTCAGTGTGTAAATAATGGCCTAACAATTAGTATGAAAAACGTCAGTCCGCATTTGACTCAATGATAAATTGTATTTGCTGACAAGGTCATTGTATCGACCAAAGAACTTACGAAATGATGACTTTAAACGAGACAGCAGATATTCTTGTTTCATCAACTTATTTGTCAATAATTTAATTTTGTTTGTATTCTAGCCTCTGATTGGTTAATATCCAAAAAGGAACACAAATTATTTCTGTATAACCTGGTTTGGTATGGGGACACACCCCCCTGACAACCAGCTGAATCGTCTGTATCCATGCAATCCTCTCATTTGCAGTCCTCGGGATTCATGGAAATTCCAGATTTAATAAATGTACCTTTGACTTCAAACAGTAACTTGGATCTTACCACATGTAAACAAACAACATGGCTGCTAGGACTATGTATCAGTTTTTACCTCCCCTCGCTTCCCATCACTTCCGTTACTAGGGTTGTATTATTGAGCGGCAAATTTGAACTAATAAAAAGCTACGAAATTTTACACCAACAGTTGTTTAATGATTTAGAATTAAATTATAAGGAATGACTCTAATTCTTGGCCAAATTATTCGAGTATAACCTGGTTTGGGTCAGTTTACCCTGTTTTATAATCCGCTTCGCGGATTATAAAGCGTAAACTGACCCAAACCAGGTTATACTCGAATAATTTGGCCAAGAATTAGAGTCATTCCTAAAATAATTTACCTCGTTTTAGAAATTGTACATATGTAGAGCATGCTCGAATCAACTGAGAGATATATACCCCGTATGCAGGTGATGAAGGTATATTGCTGCATAAGTAAGGGAAGTTGACGATTGAAAAGTTAAAGTCATCACGTTTATCATAAAGCTTGGTTGTTAGATTACCATTAACGTCTTTTTCAAGTAAAATATCCAAATATGAAACAGATGTGTCCGACTCTGTGGTATCTTTTATCTCAAGTTCACCAGGATATATCGTATCGACATAAGAATGAAAATAGCCATTGTTGATTGTTTAAGAAGCAAGGTCCATTTCTTTTCAGGTTGCAGTACCATTCTTGTTTTATGGACATATATATTCTAATTCTGTTCCTATTTATGCATAACATGATATTTTTAAATTGTCAATGGAATCTACCTTTCTTTTACCACAAAGAAAAAAAATCCTAAACCCATTTTTTACAATTGAAATTTGTATTCATTTGGTTTCTTTTTACAGCAAGGAAATAGTTGAATGAATGAGACTAGTATTTGGTCTGATATTTTGAATATTTTCAGCTTCTTCTTTGTAAAACATATATCAGTTTTAGCAAATTAGGATAAAACATTATAAGCAAATTTAAGAGATGTGAACTTTTTAGCCCCTAGGGCAAAACCATAAAAATGACTAAAACTGAAGTTGTGCCTATGATTTAGCTAGAACAACCAAGGTGAAACAGATAGTTATTACCTACATGTATATATTGATATTACATATTGACGTACATTGTACATAGCAAAGACAATATCCGTAGAGCTGAACTCTTTGATTACCTATGTTTTGGTTCTATTTTTATTTTATTTATCATGTTATATACCTGTAGTGTGATCCCAACTTAGAAGTGTTTGCTGTGTGGATAAATACTCTAGATCCCCGCCTGCCTCGCATTGCTTTGTTCTCCAAAAGGGACATAGAAAAAGGAGAGGAACTCACTTTTGATTATATGATGACTGGTGAGTTATATGCAAGGCATGATTAAGTTTGATTAAAATATTAAGAAGAATATGGAACTTGAAGCACTTATCAAATCAGTGAAGTTTTGGAGATTTCGGTAATAAATTAATACAAAGATACAAAGTAGAAAGTCTTAAAAGTACCTGAAAAATTTTGACACTGCACTAGAGAAAAATGCCATAGTGGTACAAAAGTAAAATATGTTTATTACATTAACTGTATTATTTTTAAGAAGTTTAAAGTGAGAATTTGTGCATGTAGCAAACAGAAAATTTTTGTTCTTTAGTATACACCTTCTGTTTATAGTTAAAACAAAACTAAAAAAAAACAAAACAATACAAAACAAACTACACAAACACACAGAAAACCACTTACATGTATTTATTATGAATCTTAATTTGAAATTTCATTTGAAGTTGTAATATTGAATGAGGTACGTTCAAGATACACTTATTTGTAGGAGACACCACTAACCAAGCTCCTACACTAGATGATGTGGACATCACTAAGCAGGCCAAGTTATTACAAGCCTCCAGTGCCCAGTCCTTGGAGATGTCCAGTAGCCTGGTAAATGATGAGAACACTGCTACAGAGGATGAAGACACAGCAGAAGATTCACAGGGCTCTGACACCACAGGGGAAACGGAAACCGAATGTGAAACTGCAGATGAGAAAGAATCCAGTGGAGGTGAACAAAGGGCAGAAGGGATGGATGTCAAGGGAGGAGAAACAAAGTCACCTGAAACAGAGATGGCTGCCACTGGGGATGCTCCAACTGGTAATGCTGGGAGCCCCTTGGCTCCAGTGATGAAGAAAACACCAGAAAAACTCCTGCCCAAGTCTGTTACTGATCAGTACAAGATTGTCTGTCAGTGTGGGGCCAAGAACTGTAGAAAATACTTGTTTTGATTTTCTTAGTCCTTTTATTAGTCCTTCTTATAGTCATTTCTATTATGGTATTTTTATTTACTGGTTCCTTTTTTTGGAGCCTTGGAAAAGAATGTATTTCTGTCTGAATGTGTGATTGAAAAATCCTTATTTTGTGGAATTTTCAGAATGGTGCCCATAATGTGTTCAAACATTGAGAAGTGCAAGAAGATAATTATTATGTGCCAATATTAACAGCATATTAGCATCATTAATTTCAGACAATTTGTAAATATATGTACAGTGTTGGGGAAAAAGTGGTAAAAGTGTAGATTACGGGAATTTCTTCATTTAATTGCAGTAAGAAATATTTATATATATCCTGAAAATTCATAATGATCTCAAATTCTTATGAAAGATAATACAATAAAAATGATAAGATTTGATACTGTGTGTCAAAATTGAGTAATTCCACTGTGTTTAAATGTGTGTCAGTTTTTGCAAATACAGGTAACTCTTGATGGCTCGAACTTCGATCTCTCGAAGTTCTTGATCGCTTGAAGTGAGTCTCCGGTCCCGAATTTTTCCCCTATATAACTAAGCAAATTTACTCTTGATTTCTCGAACTCTTGATCTCTCGAAACCCTTGATCCCTCGAAGTCAAAATTCAGTCCCGCTATGCATATCCTATTAGATTTTACCCTCGATAGCTCGAAGTGACTATGTGTATACAAGGTTATATAATTAGCACCTTTACCTGGACATTTAAATGGCCCCAGGCAGAAGACGCGGGTCTCGAGGAACGGGATGTTTATTCAGGTGACACTTATGCAGCAAGATGATAATTGATTTATAATTAATCATTTTTACCTATATGCTATTAAAATAATTATCATCGACTGTCTTACGATGATTCAGAGACGGAATGTCAGTGAAAAGTACATTGTAGTAATTGATTACAAGACGAAACATTAATTTAATTTTTATTTCGAGTCAGTGTCAAAGTTAAATGAAATATGAAAAATCATAAACAGCCTCAATGTCAATATGATGACTATTGTTGGACAAATACTTACAGAACTGCGTTCAATGATCATGTAAATATGGAATTTATAGTCAATGCTACATGTATGTATGTGACGCGGTAAAATGTCGTTTTCATGTAACGAATGCGTAGTATGATGTCCGTATTACAACATGTACAAAGAATTAAATATACATGAAATGACGATTTACATTTTTTGCACCACTCAGTTTAATGAAATATTCATCTAAATTACGGAAAAATATCGTTGTTTTATATCAACCACGTGTCAAAGGTAAGCACTGCATGAAAATCATTACATCCCGTAAGACTAATCTTAAAACCTGTCAACAAACCCGGAAAATTCCGGACTCTTGAAAACTCGAACTCTTGATCTCGAAGTTTTTCCTCGGTCCCGCGGACTTCGAGGTATCGAGAGTTACCTGTATGTATTTGTAAATTTGTTTCATAGGAGCAGCTGGGATGAAAACAAAGAAACTTTTTTTTGTGAGTCGAGCACATAAATGCAAATTTAGGATATTTTCACATCTTTTTTGCATTTATGATATTCATAACCATACAATTGTTTGAATAACATGATGACCCACATTTATCATGCTCTTTTAAAATATTTATGTTATTTTTGTTTTGTCCTGTATATTTTTTCATGTGATCATGTTTTCAATGGCAGGGAAGTTACACATAGCACTAAGTATTGCTCATCCAAATATGTATGAATTTCCTAATGGTAGGTCTTGTATATAAAATCAAATATCTGTAAACTTCTTTATGTTATATGTACTCATTATATCATTTAAGCTGAATTGGAGCATGAAATATTTTTAGCTGAAACTTCATAATTTTGAGGCTTCTTTTAATAAGAAGAAGAATATGCTGTTATTCTGAAAAAGAAGGGGGGAAATAATTACATAAAACTATTTTATTGTATATAGAATTTTTACTTTGAAAGTCATGTCACTAATGATCAATTTTACATCTTCTAAAGAAGTGCAAAAATTTTTAATGTCATTAGATAAATTTTGAGATATTAAATTGAAGCAACAGATAATGAGATTTAGATGTTTGAATGTATTTAAAGAACACATGTTTAAGTTATTTTCATGATTTTGCAAATGTGTATGATGTTCTGAATAAATTTTCAAGTGTGTATGATGTTTTGAATAAATTGTCATACATAAGAAGAAAAACCTTCTTTTTTTTTGAGATGTACTTATTTTAATAATAATTGTAATGGAATTCTGTATCAGCACACTTGGTAGATTGATAATACATTGAAATTTTGAGTAGCCCAAATTGAGTTCTAAAATTAAACGAAAAGGTGAAAGGGGCCTGAACACAGTTTCTTTGCAGTTTTGCTTTCAATTTTAAAGAAGATGGGCATTTTAAAGATGGGCGAAAGTGAGCAAAATGCCTGTAGTGCAATAAATATGAAGGGGAAAAATTAATTTCAATTATAACAAAATTTTCATTGATATTTCATCTAACATTTAAGTATATGTAAAATCTCCAAAATTTGCAAAAATTGAAATTATTTGCATATGAAATAGCATATACACACTAAACAGGGTAAAAAAGACAATTTTCTCATACTCTTAACACAACTTTTTTGATGTAAGTCGATCTTTGCTCCATTTGTTTGAAAGTTTATCCTCAAAGTTTGCGTAAAAATATACATTTTTTGGTTTTTGGAGCAAAGACCCACTATACCTTAAAAAGGCACTTTTTTGATGCAACTTTCGCATTTGCCTGAGAAATACTGAAGTCCAGTTAGTAAAGGGTCATATAAAAAATTTAATAAATGCCACTATTCATCAGGAGTTGTGTAGCATAGCAGTCTCGTATTGAAGGATACGTAAGATTCTTATTGCAAGGGTTCAAACCCCAAGAATATACCATATTTTTTTTAATAACACTAAAGTTTTGCCTAGAAAATTTTCTTCAGAAAAGTTTTGTTCATAATTATTTCATCCAAAATGGAGATAACGAACAGAAATCAAACTCTAAAGTCCATTGAAACTATACAAATCGAGAGCAGAGCAAACATGGACCTCTAAAATCATCAGAGGTGGGATCAGGTGCCATGGTGGAGTAAGCATCCCCTGCTGACCGGTCACACCCGCTGTGTGCTCCTTGTCATGATCGGGAAAACGGAAAAATCCGTAGACAATGTGTAAACAATGGCCTAACAATTAGTATGAAAAACGCCAGTCAGCATTTGACTTTAGGATATCCGATCCTCAGCCAGGAAGGATAACTCTTAAATTTATTATTTTATTAAAAAAGTCTCAAAATGAAGCTTGAAATTGAGATCTTTTCGTGCAACAATTTTCATTTTATGTATCGTAATATGATTCAAGGTTCTTTGAAGTCTTAGAAACGGTCTTGTAAAAAGTTGACATTTGTACCCCCAAAAAAGAGAAAAATGAATTCATTTTTAGAGAAATCCAATTTCCTTTAGTCTAGCATTAGATACCACTGCTTATTAACATGATATGAAATTAGATTTGGTATGTGATGTCTAGCAATGATAGCACACGCTTTTATACTATGTATTAAATGACAATTGAAGTAAAAAGAACTAAAATACTGTATAAGCATAAAAAAATACAATTTTCTCCAAATGCCTGGATACCTATATTTTTATGCCCCTGGATCGAAAGATCCCGGGGGTATATTGTTTTTGTTTTTGTCCTGTTTGTCTGTCTGTCTGTTGTCAACTTTAACCTAGCCCATAACTATTGCCCTGTCAAGGGTAATGCTTTAATATTTGACATGAGTGTTCATTATGACAAGACTTTTCCATTGGTACAGAAATTTTTGATCATGTGACCTCAACTGTGACCTTTGACCCATATTTGAAAAACTTTAACGTTGGCCATAACTATTGCACTGTAGTCTACGTCCCACTCCAGAATTGTGTTGCCATCGAGGGCATAGTGTTTCATAAACACATCTTGTTCTAAGACCTCGGAACATTAACTGGCAAAATTGGAAATATGCAGCTTACGTCATTTCCATCTGTTACAGTCAAAACATTTAATGATAGACAATGAAATGGGCGGGTACAATTCGACACGGACGTCCGAGAAAACATTGGATTGAAATTCTAGTTTGAAATTTATTTTCAATCCACCTCAGCTACGCTAGAACGCACGGTGTTACTGATTGACCTAGAAGACAAATAAGTTGAAATATATATAAATCAGAATTTCTATCCCATGTTTTTAAAGAAATATAAAGAGACAAATATTTGATTTCTGTTTGGTATGTGTATGTGGGGTCGGGGAGGGGGTGGGGGGTGGAGGAGGCTGAACGATCTTGGAAAGGAATAAGAAAGTTTTCTTTTAGTTTGGACATCCCCTCCCTGTTTTTGTTTGTCAAACATTTTTCAGAGAACAAAAAACTGAAAAATAAAATCTCTTGTCATCCTAGAAATTAATATATTCTTCATGTGAAGGCATGATCTGACTCGACAATTTTTGACAGCCCCCCCCCCCTTCTAGAATCAAATGGCCGTCCCCTGAAAAAATATTCTCTGTCTTCTATGACTTTGACGTGCCCTTAAAATTATAGGCTTAACAAACTCATATAAATATGAATTTCAAAAACATGTATTTGGGAATTGAATTTATTTGTCTTTTGGATCATAATTCACACTTAAGGTTTGAAAACAGTTCAGGTGGATTGAAATTGAATTTCAATTTTTTTCAGTGAAGAAGAAAATAAATAATGTCTTTTGTCATCCTACAAATAATAAATAAATTCTTTTATGTGAGGCATAGCCATAAATAATCTGATTGGACAAAATTTGCAAACCCCCCTCCTTCTAAAATCAAATGGCCGTCCCAACTTTTGTGTGTCCTCAAAATATTGGATAGAAAATTGTTATACAATAATTTCAAACTATACGTATTTGGGAACTGAAATTACGTATTTGTCGTTTCGATCATACAATTATAACTTTGCGAAAAATAGCTCAGGTGGATTGAAAATGAATTTCGAATTGCAATTTCAATCCAATGTTTTCGCAGACGTCCGTGTCAAATTGTACCTGTCCACTTCATTGTATATCATCAAGTGTTTGACTGCGACATATGGAAATGACGTAAGCTGCATATTTCCAATTTTGCCAGTTAATGTTCCGCGGTCTTATCCTAAATTATATTTGTTGATCAATTTTCGATCAGAATATGCATAGCTGGTGTTTTTATTCGCATTTCCTGAAAATATATTTGAGATTTGATTATTTTCCCGATATATGTTTAACTATAATATGATGAACTTTGGAAAAAATCCATGGGTAAATTCACGTTTCTATATGAAATCAAAGACATTTTTGTGAGGATTTTCAATTACTTAAAAGCTGATGAGGATCGGACTACCTTAATGATAGGTTGTATTTGCTAACATGGTCATTGTATCGACCAAAGAACTTGCGAAATGATGACTTCAAACGAGACTGTTGATATCCTTGTTTCATCAACTTGTTTGTCAATAGCTTGCCTCGTTTTAGAAATTGTTCATACGAAAAGTAGAGTATCTTCTTGTGTATCGAATCAACTGGAGACATAAACCCCATATTTAGGTGATAAGGGTATAATGCTACGTAAGGGAAGTTGACGATTGAAAAGTCATCACGTATAGCTACATACATGCTCACTTCTCCATGGCACCTGATCCCACCTCCGATTCTTTTAGAGGCCCGAGAATAGAAATTACAGTAATCTTTTAATAAGATGATTTTTATAACTTCAAACTTCAAGGTTATGATAGCAAAAGAGAAGCATAGACAGAAAAAAAAAAAACAGGCTTGTACAGTCTTGCGTTACATGGAGAAATTTACTTCGCATTTACACTTCGCAAAAAATATTAAAAGCAGTTGAAAAGCTGCTGCAGTTTTGTGCAAATACATATTTTGAGAAGTGCTAATCAAATGTGTGGATACTAAGAACTCCAATGAAGTAGCAAATATGAAATCGCAATTTTTTTAAATTTTTTGAATAGCAATAGAATCAAAACATGACTTTTCGTCCCTGTATACCGCTATTCCTTTAGACAAATTGAAAAAAAATGATACTAATAGATAACGGCTTCATCAATAAAAATGGTACATATCTTGTGATCAGTCATCCAGGAAATTTTATGTTTATAAAACATTTTGATTCTTTCAACAAGTGTTCTGGAGTAGATTTGAAGATGTTGAGATTCTGATTGAAAATGTCTAAACCGTCATTAGAGACCAATTCTTTCAACAATCTGCTGGAATTCCAATGAGCACTAGCGTTTTTATTGTGCCCTTTATTAACCGATCTGTTTTTGTATTCTTATGAAGCAGAGTTTTTTCAAAAGAAGTTTCTGTGACCTTCGATATTTAAGAAAATCTAATCGCGTTTTATTGATTAACAATATTCATTTTCATACATACAATCATTTGATATATTGAACAAAATTACAAGACACCACTGAGTCTAATTAACACCTCTGGTTCATACCTGGATAGATATTGAATGACAGTAATAAATATCGTAAATCTTACAAAAAATTCTCCTGTCTTTTTTAGTTCCACAGATGATGTATCAATATAAACAAATAATAAAAAAGTTGTGTACCTCTACTTCTTTTGAAATGAAAAATAGCACAATTGCGGTAATAGCATTATTTACATTGACATTCCACGAGAATTTCAAAATCGCAATCAATTCAGAAGTTAGATTAAGGACATACGCAACGTACCTTACCTACTGATAATTTTTCAAGATATTGTGAATTTAAGATTATAGTGCCATCAGATATTCGTAAACGAAAAATCAGCATGCAATACCAGGGGTTTTGAAAAGATATCAATTGATGAAAATTCTTGTATAATTCAAAGAAAAATATACAAAAATTACTAAACATATTCTAGATGTTTTGTCTATCCAAACTTGTTTTAGAAGAAGTGTACAACAGCATTTATAGACATTAAAATGTAGCACACAGTTCCATTAAGTATCGGAACTCTTCAACTCCAAGGAAAAAGACAATGAAGTTCAAACTACGTTGCGTATGTCCTTAAAGGTTTATTCTTTGAAATGATGCAGAACCAGTAGTATTGTTATAGAAGAAAATACATCACTAAAATTAGAATGTGTGTAAGGAATCTGTTTATTATGCCCCCGTAATCGAAGATTCGGGGGCATATAGTTTTTGCCCTGTCTGTCTGTCTGTCTGTTTGTCCGCAAAAACTTTAACCTTGCCCATAACTTTTGATTGGTTGGAGCTATGGCTTTTATATTTCACTAGTGTATTCCTTGTGACAAGACCTTTCTTTGGGTACCATCATATTTGACCTTGACCTTGGAGTTTGACCCACTTTTGCAAAATGTTATGAGACTTTAACCTTGGCCATAACTTTTGAACAGTTGAAGCTTAGGCTTTCAAACTTCACATGTGTATTCCTCGTGACAAGACCTTCCTTTGGATACCAACACCTTTGACCCTTTGACCTTGACCTACTGTTGAAAAAACTTTAACCTTGGCCAAAACTTTTGAACAATTTGTGCTAGGTCTTTCATATTTCGCATGTGTACTCCTTGTGACAATACCTTTCTTTGGATACCAACAACTTTGACCTTGACCTTGGAGTTTGATCAACTTCAATTTTGAAAAATTTTAACCTTGGCCATAACTTTTGAACAGTTAGTGCTAGAGTTTTCATACTTCAAAATACTTGCTTTAAATGAAAGAAAATTTACTTTTAATGTCAACACGAAATATATATAACAACCAATGAAAATAATCGTTGTATAACTAAATCTTATCATGCTGTAAATAACCTATCTATAATTTACGGACAAAACTATTGTTAACTATAGTTTTGATCGTAAACTATACTTTAGAGTCGTGAAATATAGTTTTACAGAAAACTGTGCATCTCCGATACAAAATCAGAGATTCTGGCGTTAAACTGTGTTTCTCAACTGTAAAACTATATTTATCACAATTTTGTGAATATGGCGCCTTAAATATCTGTAAACTATAGTTTACAACCGTAAATTATAATTAACACACGTTAACTATAGTTTACAGTTGTAAACCATAGTTTACAAAACGTGAAACCGTATTTATCAGATAAACTATGCTTTGCAATCGGAAATGATTGTTTTCGGTGTTAAGTATAGTTTACACTTGTGAAACATAGATTAAGACGTGAACTATGGTTTAGAGATGTGAAATATAGATTAACATTGTTAACTATGGTTTACGGTCGATAAATCTTAGGCTAGTTTATCAATGTGAAACTATGTTCAGCTCATTTTTGTTAATTTGGTGTGCCATACCTTTCATATTTCACAAGTATATTTCTTGAGACAAGACCTTTCTTTGGGTACCAACATTTTTAATTTTTTGACCTGAAGTTTGACTTGCATTTGAGAAACTTTAACCTTCGCCATAAGCTGCCATACGGGGGCATCAGTGTTTCACAAACACATCCTGTTTTTTACATGCTACTTTTCTGAACTAGATTTTTTACATTGTATTTAATTCTTGTGTGTAACATAACAATGGCAAAAATATCCCGGTATTCTTTTGAATATAACGTTATATTGAAAAAGAAGAGGATTTATTCGACTAAGACAGAATAACATGCAATACTGTGATATCAAGAAACAAATGATGACACCAAGTTTAGAAATGGCCTTTACCGAATAAAGCTTTTATTTTATTATTATTATTATTTTCGTTACTACTGCAGATTCCAAGTTTGGTGATAAGAAAGGTTTTACTTTTCTGAAAATATCAAAAAATAAAATTCAAGTGATAAGAAGGTTGTGTCAAAAACCATAAGTAATTGTGGTCTAGCAACTCCCTGAAATAAACACACGTGTTTTTCATGACTTGTCTTTTGAATATCCCACAAAAAAGGCAGATGACCATAAGGAAGATCACCTCAAAATGGAATGAGCAATATATACGTTTTGATAATTTGACAGTATCCATATTATTGTAAAAATCAGGTACATGCGCACATTTTTTGACAAGTTTTGTGCTAATCTCTGTTTTGCATCAGAACAAACTTTGAAAACCTCACAACTACCTTTTACAAATCCACCTATTGTGCTAAAATAAAATCCCCCCCCCCCAAAAAAAAAAAAAAACAACGTACAATACATCTACATGACAAAGCCAGTCTTGTGCAAAAAGATTTAGGAATATTTGGCTACACCTCTAAAACTGCAATAGAATTGTAGCCTAACATATTTTTCAACAGTGAGATACATTAAACTAATTGAAAATAAAATTTATCAAACTAATACTACAAGTCTGAATGCTACAATATCACAGTACAAAAATAATATGCTTTCATATTAACTAAGTGCACATCGATCGTAATTCTTATTATACATACATTATTGCATTAGGTCAGAAGTATGGCTATGTTCTGATCCAAAGCTGATATGTAAACTTTCGAGTAAAACATATCTGCAAATCATACATGTATTTACCATCAATTATCATAAGAGCTTTTTAACTTTAAAAAACACCCGAAAACATCGATATTTTAATGTGCCACACCATTTAGACAGATCTTATAAGTTATAACTCTGTCAGAAACATTACAGAATCTTAGTGATTTTTACAACATTAAGAGTTTAAGACACTTTCATATATAGCACACTATTTTAACACAAATGTTTTTGATGCTATAAAATTATATATTTACTGTAACGTAATATGAAAAGCACTTGAAAAAAGACAGATTTCCTGAGATATAATAAGATAATGGATTGGTGCATGTCTTATCCTCTTAAATATCTTTCAAGAATTATAGCCGGAAAAAAGCTGGAAAAAAAGCTATAAGGAACTTGGAAAAATGCAAAAGATGTCTTAATATAATGTAATACATAATAACAAAGTCAGGTTCATAATATTAATGCAGTACACACTTTATAAGATTTCCGATTGTTTGAAGTTTTTTGTTCATCTAGGATACTAAATAGTTAACACATCATTCTTTTAAAAATTATGGAATGACAGGATTCAAATAATTACAGAAAGAAAGAGTATGTTATATCACATATACAATCATAATGATACATCAAAAAATCAAGATGCATATGTTAGACAGGCTTTTTACTTTCAGTATTTATTACATCACTTGGACCTTTTTGGATGTCGACCCTCTAGAACTTCATACATATCATCCAAAGACTTGGTGACACATTCTATGAAGTCTGGGGCATTGGTTGCAGGGGGATAGCTGGTCACATTAAATCCTATCCGACTGTCTTCTATAGAATAACCTGTAACAAAAATCATGTCAATGAAAACTAGGTGTAAATGTTAAAATAAGAGAAAATTTAATCAAAGTGGACAATGTGCTATAAAAACATGCTTGTAGAATAAATCTTAGCAGACAGAAAAAAAAAAACATTTTGTGTTGACACCATTTATAGATGATATGAAGTAAAAAAGAAATGAATTATTACTCATTATTTCTCCCTTATCTGAAATTGTTACAATCCCCTTTCAACATATATTACTAATGTGCCTTTGCAATTTTTAATGTACACTCAATTCAGGTTTTACGCTTTTAATCATTCAAAAAATGGTCAACACAAAAAAACAAGACTTCTTTTCTTCAACTGATGTCTTCTAATAAAACATACCAACTCCATATCCATTTTGGGTCACTGGTGCAAACCCCCCAATTAGAATTGCTGGACTAGACACTGTGGATGTAGATAAAATGATGTGGTTAATCTTCTGATAGTTTGGGTCTGTGAACATCTGTGGAAGTTTTCCATCTTCCTCCTCAGCAAGCGTCTTCAACCCAAACAAGTGTCTGTCAAAACCCTTACCTATCAACCATAAAGATTCTTTATAGGCAACTACACATGTATTTCATACATTTCAGGGGATGATAAGTAACAATAAGCATAAAAATCTAGATACAAGATGCTTTCATTTTTTTCTTTTTCTTTGTCTTTATGCCGAATAATGACTAACCTTCCTAATACATCCAAGTATACATGTTTTAGATGCTGTCTGAAATATTCACATAAAATTGATAAATCAAATTTCAGCATTTTGAGTAGCTTTGTGTAGTTAAAATAACTCCATTGTAGAAGTTTTGGCCAACCAAAACAAGATATCAAATTGAAATTCAGATTATGTAAAATATGTTTTTACTTTCTTGGGTGGTAAGATCTGATCATGTTCAGCAATTGTTTAGACTTAAATCACTTGCAAATGTAGCTGCTTTAATAACAAACCTTTGGAAAATATAGATCTCATACAGCATCCACAACATACAATATCTTAAAAATACAATCAAGGTATGATTTACAGTAATTTAATAAGTTAACATATTTCCATAAAATGCATCATCCTAAACAAAATCCACATCCAAACTTCCGAAGCCCATTCTTTTAATCTTCCAAGTATCTATCTATCTATCTATCTATCTATCTATCTATCTATCTATCTATCTATCTATCTATATATATATATATATATATATATATATATATATATATATATATATATATATATATATATATATTTGATAATACAAATCTGCTCATGGATTCACACATCCCAAAACATAATCATTAACTCAAAATATAGACAAAGGTCCATTGACCTATAATTTCTCACAAGGATGACTATCATTTGAGAGCTGAAGGAGACCTGGGCAGAAATCAAATGCCTATTGCATATCTACATGATATGACCAATCACTGTTTTTGAATTTTGAAGCTCTCCATTTCCCTGGAGGCAAACTTGAAATTCTGAGATCATTCATCACATTTTTATGATATGACCAACCATCAGCAAAAAGAATATTTTGATTACCTTTCAAACTCTAAGGGTTTCAAAGACAAGAACTATTATAAATAGCTTAAAGTCACAGTATGCACAAACCTTCTTCAAAAAGTCCAGATATAATACATATACTAGTATTTCAACAGAATTTATCAAAAGTCTGACAATTACCCATAGCAGCATTCCTGGTAAGAGAGCCATGCTTTTTAGAGCAAGCCATCATGGCATTTTTGAGTTCATCTACAGATGGCTCAGGATGATTATCATCTACAAACAGAACACATGCTCTCTTGGTCTCGGCAGTGGCTGGACGGATTGTTTCAGTTCTGCCATGCTTAAAGGCTGCAGTGCTACAGGACTCATATGTGGCCACGGTTTGTTTATATTGTCTGTAGTAGGCCATCTGCTCAAAAGAACATATTAACTCATTCTTACACATTTTAATTAATGATGCCAGATAAACTCAGGAAGCACAGTTTCTGTTCAACAGAATCATTTCATTTTACCTGTATGGCAAGTTGCATTAGTGCATCTGGACTCATTCCACTTTTCTTCACATAGGACTTGGTGTATTTGTAATACTCTAAGTGATCCACATCCAAACTCTGCATTGTTGCATTGAACTTTTTCACAGACTTCTGAAGGTTATCTTTCATCTCTTGATCAAGTTTAAATTCTAGGTGAAGAATAGAACAAAAAAAAATGACATTCCTATTACTATATAACCTAGTTTAACCAAATTCTAAGTAATTTCTATGTGTAGTCCCATTATTAAACACGGTTTATGCATTAACCTATGTCTTAATTCACCAATATACAAGTATACTGCATATATGCTATTCAATAACCATGCAATTTCCACTATATCATTCTGAGCATTTGCGTATTTTCAAGTACTGGACATTAACACATTTGTAAGTATAAGACATTAATTCATTCAATTCTGTCAAACAAACATTTTTAGTACTGCCTTTATCAATTTCAAAATTTTTTGTATATTCTGTTTCAATCTATATTTCCAAGTACTGCCTGATAATTAACTGATCAATTTATCTCCCGTTGTAGGCACCGTGCTGATACATACCAAGTTTCCTGACACTTGTTGCACTGTCCTGTACAGAGGTGGAGGGATGTACGACAGACTTCATTGTTGAGTCATCAAAAACCTCATTAAAGTATCGCAGCACAGCCACACCATCCCCCCAAGCATGCTCAAAGTTGACACAGGCGTTACCAGAACCAGTCATAATCAGGGACAAACTCTTATCAAACCAACTGATGAAGATTAAATAAAGGCAAAACATCATCACTTAATATTATGAACTTTACTTTACATAAACTTTATTAATAACACTTTTTAAACCTTTTAAAGGCTGGATGCTTAAAATAAGTCCACAACTGCCATAGAAATGCACAATAACTCTTCCTCAGCATGCAAATTTCATATACTTCCTATTATAACAATTTCAATATCACAGGTGGTTGAGGAAAGGACCCAACCCCTCAACCTACCCCGATGTAGACTTTCTTAAAAAAAAACAACTAGATTTTGAAGTGACCCTATTTTACATTATTGTGCTGCACTCCTGACATGTGATATGTATTTCATTTGAAATTGTTTTAAAAAATTATAAGGCACAATTACACATTCTTAGTTTGAAAATCACTTCGTTGTTGTGATATTTTTTATCATATTTTCAAGACTTCAAAACATGATTATATGCAATGTGTTATATATTAACATTGCAGATTGTATTTAAAAATATGCATTAAGTAATGAAAACTATTCTCTGAATTGACTGTAAAATGTCTGTAATTACTTTTGAACATCATATAGTACCAAACATTTTTTTAGTAAAGATAGATGAAGATCACTAATAATTTTAAAACCGTTTTATTGCACTTCTGACTGCAGTAAAATTAAAAATCAAAACCATAGAACACAAAAATTCATAAAGTGTTGACAACATCAAGTGGTAACGAACTTGTGCAAAATTAAGTCCAATACTTCATAATTGAATCACATGAAAATATTTAAACTTGGCTTTATATCTTGAATCACATTCCCTATTTATGTCAAAAAACTAGATTAATATATATATATTTAGAAGATAAAATATATTTTATAGTATATTTTCCTTCACAGAACATACACTGTAAGCAACTGAGGTTCACCATAAACATTCTACTCATCAATTTTTTTCTTTACATTTATTCGTTTTTGATCAGCAATAATTCTAACATATTTGTTGCACTCCTGACAAAGAGCATTGGAGTCTTTAAAGTAGAACTATAAAGCAAAACTTAATCAGAACTTATTCTGTTGTTCGGTTAAGTTGAACTGGTGGAAAAACTTGAATTTCATAACAATTTTTCAATGTGCTTATTTTTTACATTCATAAAAAAATCAAAGAATGGATGAAAACAAACCCGAATTGATAAAATTGAAAAAGAGAATGATTTTAATAATAAGACTGTCAATAATTTATAGTACTAATTATTAAAATAGATCATTATTAATTAAAGAATATTTCTTAGCATGAATAAAAGTCTTTTCATCATATAACTTGAAACTTTAAAAAATGTGTTGCACTCCTGACATAGAAATATAGATCTGAAACACAGACAGACCCTGAAATTGATAAATCTATTTGATAAAAATGTTCTTGGTGTCTTTATTTTCCAAAATAAAAACCAGAGAACCATATTCTGATAAGTTTTTATTCATGATGGGGAACAAAACATCAAATGTTGCACTCCTGACATCACTGGGTATGCACAGACACTCTTTAATGCTGCTTGTGATTTATATAACATTCTTAAGTTTTAAATAGTATATCAGTTATTGTTTTACACTCTGAAAATTCTTTTTTGACTTAATGGTCTTTCAGATTTTAAAAATCGATGTTTTTGGCATCACTTCATTTTTTCTGTTGCACTCCTGACATGGTATAACATTTTTTTCAACATCAGCCATGACAACAATTTGGTCAAACAAAAGTTGCTAAAGTCTACATTCAAAGCTCAGTACTTTGAATATTATCAGGAAAGTCTATTCCCAACATAAAACATTATTATTTATTTCACAGATCTTAAAAAAATATTCAATTTTCAACATGTCACAAACAGGTGTAGCAATCCTGACATTTTAGCATCATTTTTTGGGTATATAACTTTTTTGTGAATTGAGATATCAATGGGATATTTGGCAGGTATTTAGACATTATTTAAAGACATATGCTGAGGTATACAAAATTATTCCCATTATCTGTATTTTTAGTGCAGGTTGATAAATATGTGTTTGGTCATTTTTTAATTCACCCAATAGCTAGCTATAATAAAACTGTACTTTAGTTTTTACATCAATTTTAAGTTTTAAGAATTATAATTCTGGACCAAATTCTGATTTGTTTACTGATATACATGTAACATATATCAATCTTTTCAAACTTACAGAAAAAGTGTAAATTGTGTGGTCAAGAAATGCTCTTACATTCTTCCTGCCTCTCCATGAAGAAACATTCTGGTGATGGCATTAGGGTCTGTTGGTTTACCATCCTCCAGACAAAGAGCAAACACAGCAGAATCAATCAACTTCAGTGTCTCTTCATTTCCTTTTAATGAAATTTTTTTTCTCAATCATCATTGCATTTACAAAAGATGTTCTTTGATACAATTCCATTCAATCCATAAACTACTGATAAAGTATCTTCCGAAAACAATATTTGACAAGAAAAAAATATTGAGATATAAAGGATCTGAGACTTAGGAGTTGAAATAAGATAAACAAGAGGCCCATGGGCCACATCGCTCACCTGAGCACATTGGCTAGGCAAAAGCACAAATCAGTTCAGTATTGAAAAAATTACCGGGGGGGGGGGGGGGGCTTGAAAAACTACCTGTTGATGCTTCCATGTCAATATAACAAATGGCTTTGTTGTACTTGAGAAGATTTTTAAAAAAATTTCCCATATATTCCTTTGTAAAAATTTGATCCCCCATTGTGTCTTCTCCCTATCCAAGGGGTCATCAATTGAACAAACTTGAATCTACACTATCTGAGGATGCTTCCATATAAATATGACTCATCATGGCTTTGCTGTTCTTGAGAAGAAGATTTTTAAAGGTTTTTCCTATATATTTCTATGTAAAACTTTGATCCTCCATTGTAGCCCCCCCTTTACCCCCAGGGGTCATGATTTGAACAAACTTGAATCTACACTATATGAAGATGCTTCCATATAAATATGACTCATCATGGCTTTGCTGTTCTTGAGAAGAAGATTTTTAAAGGTTTTTCCTATATATTTCTATGTAAAATTTTGATGCTCCATTGTGGCCCCGCCCTACCCCCAGGGGTCATGATTTGAACAAACTTGAATATACACAATATCTGAGGATGCTTCCATATAAATATGACTCATCATGGCTTTGCTGTTCTTGAGAAGAAGATTTTTAAAGGTTTTTCCTATATATTTCTATGTAAAACTTTGATCCTCCATTGTAGCCCCGCCCTACCCCCAGGGGTCATGATTTGAACAAACTTGAATCTACACTATCTGAGGATGCTTCCATATATATATGACTCATCATGGCTTTGCTGTTCTTGAGAAGAAGATTTTTAAAGGTTTTTCTTATATATTTCTATGTAAAACTTTGATCCGCCATTGTGGCCCCGCCCTACCCCCAGGGGTCATGATTTGAACAAACTTGAATGTACACTACCTGAGGATGCTTCCACATGAGTTTCATCTTTCCTGGCTCTGTGGTTCTTGAGAAGATTTTTAAAAGATGCTATTAATTTTTCACTAATTCTTTATTATCTCCCCTTGAAAGAGGGCGTGGCCCTTCATTTGAACAAACTTGAATCCCCTTCACCCAAGGATGCTTTGTGGCAAGTTTGGTTGAAATTGGCCCAGTGGTTCTGGAGAAGAAGTTGAAAATGTGAAAAGTTTACAGACAGACGGACGGACAGACGGACTACAGACAAAATGTGATCAGAAAAGCTCACTTGAGCTTTCAGCTCAGGTGAGCTAAAAAGTGGTTGGGAACTTAAAAATTCACTACAACATATTTATGGTACAGTGTATTCGAAAAAGTGATCTTCAAAATATCAAAGTTTAACTGTATTTCTAAATTTCTCAAATATGCATAATCTACTTTGCATTACGTCATTCATAAAACAAAAGAAATCATATCAAAGCTCAGTACAACTCTGCAATTGCTGTATGCACATTCAAGCTGAACATGATTTGTAAAAGACACAGATCTTTGTCTGTCACATTACTCTGCATTTTAGCTGTCCTACTTGGTCTGGTTCAATGTAATCAGTTTTCATTGGAATTGATGGACGTATTCTACATAGCTATTGTAAAACTCATGGTAACGACAAAATAACTGAGTGCTTCTTCTACGGCAGAATAAAAAGTTACCATAGAAACTTGCATCAGTTGCACAGGTCAGTGCAGTACAAACAAAAACAAAAAAATGTAAACAAGGGTAATATAAGATAATCAACACGAACTTATGTCAGCCATTCCACGCAGGTACCCATGTCAAGAATGCAATCAGATGTAACAAATGTGAAGTATATACCTCAGTGCTGTTATCGGAGATAGGAAAACTAATATGGCATATGCCTTTTAACAAGTCATGTTCAGTTTAAGCTTTTCACAGAAAAATTAACAAATTAAACTAAACTGCATAAATGCGATATTTTTTTCGACACAAATACTGAAGAGGAGCCTTGAAAACTGGATCTCATGATTTACATACTTTATATAAAAGTCCCCCTTACCCAGACTAATAAGTTTCTCCCTGTATGAGGCCCACACATCCCTGTCCTCTGCAGTGAAAGCAGCTACAGGCTCTGCAGATGGTGGACTTTGATCCTTCATGATTTGGTGAATATTTGACATTATTATTCCTGGCTCCATTATGTTTCCTTTAAAATCAAATAAATACTTTAATCACCTATACATTTTTTTCTCTGAAGTTTATTTCTAAAGCTGTTGTGGTAAAATAGATCTTTGAAAAGCACTGTTGTGCAGAAAAAAATAGAACTTGCATATTCATGTAAATCCCATATTAAGTAAAATGAGATTTTCTGATTAGAAATTCCAACAATGGAAATACATGTTACCATGTCCAAGAAAAAACAAATCAAACAAAAACATTAAAAAAAAAAACAACAACACACAATGTTGTACGAATTTCTGCAAAATGTCTTCTCTGGTATTTTTTCTAAATATTTACCAAATTGAGCATGCATGTTTATTTATTTTTTTTTTTGAAATGTATTTTATTGAAGAAAAAACCGTATTCCATCATGTGATGGTGTGTTTCAACATCAATTTTCCTAACACACATTAGCAAAGTCCTAAATATGTGGAACTCAAACCTCTTTGGATATAGTATTCTCACCGTCACTATCAAGGACATCAAACACATAGAAATTTCCATTTCTCATTACCAGCAAATGTCTTCCATCTTTGTTCACAACCAATTCATCTTTTCCAGGTCTGTAAAAAAAAATAATAAATACTTAAAAATGTACATAATTGATTTTAATGCTGTATTTTGAATGCCTGCCGAATTTGTATAATGATTAACAGTACAAAACATATTAACAGAAAACTTTTTTCATCAAATGCTACAAACCAATATTAAATGCAAAATCTTGTATTTATATGTTAATGATACATAATTACAAAAGTATTTCAGTTGTTCTTTTACGTTTGCTATACTTAATAGCATGACAAAATCTACAATCATAATATTTACCTTGGAACTCTAGTTGAATTGAACAAATTTTTATACTGGCTCATGTCTAAAGGAAAAGCTTTATAAAGGTATGCTCCATAGAAGGCAAAAGGAGATGGAATCATCCTGTTTCATGAACAAAAAGCAGATTCTTTAAGTACTATAAAAAAAATTCAAAAACTATTCTTAGAAACTTTAAAACATTTTTCCCCCAAGTAAACCTGTCTTTTAATTTATAATTACAAAGAAAAGAAAGTGTCAAAAGAAGGAATATCCACACTTATGTGTTAACCACTTAAATTATTATCCTTTGCCCCTGGGTAACAAGTGAAGTAGCAGCAACAGTTATTCCATAATATACATATATGAACGTGCCTCCTAATATTTTAGTATTTCATACTGTAAATACATGTACATAGTTTGAAACTTAAAGATTTTAAGGAAGCAGAAATTGTTTTGATTTGAAAAAAGAAATCCACCCCCAATTGGCCTCCTTAATGAACATTAAAATTCTGTAACCTTATTGCGCATCTATATGACACTATGAATCAAATTCTGAAAGTTGATTTGGCTACTGCACAAAGTGCTAGAGGATTTCTGGGAACATTCTTTTTTTTAAAGAGAAAAATGTTTTTTGTTTCCCCAGTTGCCATCCTAGATGAACATGAAAACTCCAAAATGTACAGGAAAAGTAATCATATTCTGAAATATGAATTTACTACTTGGATTATTGTAAAAGGAATTCTGGAAATGTGATTCTTGTAGAAAAACGTCAATCAACCCCAGTTGACTCCCTGGATGAAAAAGTAAGACTCTGAAACCCTTTTGCACATCTACCAGACCCCGCCAATAATACCTATTTCTAAAGATAAATTGAGAATTGTAAAACAAGTTCTTACACATGGTTTTTGTAGAAAAACATTGTGTTTCTACCCTAACTTGGTCATTAGGTTGAAAATGAAAATTTTAAAACCTTTTGCACCCAAGTAGCCAATCATCTTTGGAATATGAATGGTGTGAGCTGTAAACATGCAAAAAGGTTTTTCATTTTCACCTTGGGGGTCGGTCAGTTGGGGTCAAAAAAGATGTTTTTCTTTGTACAAAACATGTACGAAGACTCTTTTTTTAAAACTCAGTAGCTATATCATCTTTAATGTTATCGGTGGTGCCTTGTAGATGTGCAACACAAGGTTACTGAATTTTCATTTTGACCCATGATGCCAAATGCAGTCCATTTTTTTTTTAATAAAAACCTTTTCAAAACTTCTACTTATACACAATTTATGATTCATTATATTCTTTATTTCAGACTGGTAATAAGTTAATTAATTTAAGAGGTCCACATGCTCATCTGGGAATTTTAAGCTCAATTTGATACATGTATATTCATGTTAAAGCAATATGAGCTGCAAGTTTGATGTCAGAATTTTTGTTGCAAAATTTCAATGACAGAAAAAGGAACGTTTATAAACATCTGATGTTCATATTTGCGATGGAAGAACTATTTATAAGCTTTGATTGAAGCAAAATTACATTATTGTCGTCCTGTACAATATTGATTTCCTATGTTACACTATATTTTTGATTGTACAGAATCCTTTATTCTGAAACAATTTGATACTTTATTTCTGTCTAATTGATCTAAAAGTTTTAAATTACATACAAATTTATCATAATAACAAATTTTAACAGCAAAATAAAACTCTCGAAAATGCAGCTCATTTTGCTTAAAATATATATACCGTCACGGAAGCTCAGTCAAAATGCTTTTTTTCTTCTTCACACAAAATACCTCTTTCTAAAACTCCTTTTAAAAAGAATTTATGCTTTATTAAATTATATAATTTCAGTCTGGTAATGAATTTTGTATATGAATGGTAAGATAGAAGGTCAATAGCCACATCCTTATCTCAGTATTTTATGCTCAATTTGATGCATGTATAATCTATGTAAATTATAGACAACTTTTGTGACTCGATCCTCATCAGATACAAAGGTACATGTATGATGGAGAGAATATTTAGAGACAAACACCAACATGCAGGTATGACTTTTTTTGAAATCACACTGTTGATTTGTCAAGGAACAAAGTTTTACATTCTATGCTGAAATAAGAGATTTCTATGAATGAGTAGCTTTACATGTCCCTGCACTTTCTAAAGAAAGGTCAGGTATAGTGTTATCCTGCTTCATCCTTTCATCACAGTGTTCTTCCTCAACCTCCTCTTGCAGAAATATCATAAGTGGTATTCTGTAGATTTGCAATAAGGTATTTACATTTTCATACTGGGAGTATTTGTCTAACATCCCTTCGAGAATTTTTCACTCATATTGAGACGCCACCACTTGCCGATGGAGGGCTGCAAATTTACACCAGTCCTGTACTCAGCACTTATGGCCTTTGAGCAGGGATCTTTCTCATGCCAGCACCTTCTGCAACATGGGACCTCGGTTTATACAGTCTCATCTGAAGGACCATTCTCCAGTGTCCTGCAGTGGGATTTGAACTTGCGACGTAAGGATCAGCTTCTTACTTCACAACTTAAAAGACCTAATACTTATATAAAACCTGGTTCCCTTAACTCTTCTAACGTTTATTCAGTAGAATAATCACCTTTTAGAATATGATTGGTGATGTCTTGTAGATGCACAATAAACATTTTGGAATTTTCATTTTCCTGGGGAAGGCAAAAATAATAAAAGGTTGTGTCCTGAAGATGTGCAATCAGGTTTAGACGTTTTATTTCCACTCAGCATGGCAATTGTTGGTCGAAAAACAATTTGCTATGAAAACCTGGTTCCAAGATTTCCTCATAAATTTTATGCAGCTTTTGTTCTATGATAAGTGATGCTCTGTACAGTGCAATACAGTTTCAAAATTCTTATTTTTACCCTGGGGTCGATAATGGGTCAAAAAAAGAACGTTTTTTCTTCTTTCCTAAACTCCTCTTATATTTTATGCAGTGGCCGAATTATTTTTAGGAATATGACTGGTGGTGTCCTGTACAATCTTATTTCACCGTGACGTCCATGGCCTGTTCCCAGAACTACAAAGTAACCAAATCATCTGTTGGAATATGATTGGTGGGTCCTGTAGATGTGCAATAGGGTTTCAAACTTTTTAATTTTCACCTTATGCATGGGCCAACTGGAGGTCAAAAAAGACTATGCTACAAAATCTATGTTCCCAGAACTCCTCTTACATTTCATGCAGTGGCAAAATCATCTTTTTCGAATTTGATTAGTGATGGCCTATTGATGTGCAATATATTTTCAGTTTTTGTTTCAGACATGTGGGCCAATAATGGGTGGAATTCATCATTTTTCTATGAAAGCCTAGTTGTCAGAATTCATCATAAAGTTTATGAAATAACCAATTTATTGTTTGGAATGTGATTATTACCGTTCTGTAGACATGCAACTCGGATTTAAAATATTAATTTTCAACCTGGTTCGAAAAAAGATATTTCTATGAAATCTGGTTTCCAGAACTCCTCTTACATTTTTTGCAGTAGCCAAATCATCTTTTGGAATGTGATTTCATCTAGATGCGCAAAAAGGTTTGGGAATTTTCGTTTTCAAAGGGGATACCAAAAGTGGCATTGCTATTTTCAGTTTGAGACTGCTAATAAATTTATGTTAATATAGTAATACAAGGGGCCCATGGACCACACGCTCACCAGAGCACGTCATGTTCAATTTAATGTATGGTTATTTATGTAAATGAAGGAAAAATTAAAGCTGCTTTCTTCATTAGTTACCTACTCCTACAAGTAAGAGCCTCTGTTAACGTCCCTACGCTGTCTCGCCGTGAACCTCTAGCATGCTGGAGTAATTAGTTACCCAGGTACAAAGGTGATTAATTTTAGAAGAAAACAGTCACTTATGAGTGGGTATTACTGTCTTATGACAGCATCTACTTACTGTAGATTCCTAAATGTTAGCGGAAAATTCATTATCTCGTAAATTCACAAGAAACACTACTCACAAATAAAATTTCTTGCTTTTATTTTCTATATTGTTTGAATATATGTAAAACAACATGATATACAGCCCATCTGCAGATCTCACTATCTGACATTTTCAAGTCATTTAGCGATATTAACTACTTGCTTAAAATAAGGAATCAACCAAGTTATTAACATTATTACCTCATGATTTTCCTGAACCTCATGTTGTCCGACTTTGCTGGAAACAGATGATAGATATCAGGCTCTAGGATATTAGCCCTCATTGTCTTCATGAATTTAAGTGATGACACAATCATATTTGTTGAGCGAATGAGCTGAAAATGTCAACGATCATAGGTTTTACATGTAGGTAGTAGAGTTCATCTGATAATTTATGTTCTTCCTGTGCCTTGCACCTGATCAGGTGACTGAAATAAACCCTAAATTTGAATAGGATAAGTACCAACTCCTAGGACTAAATTCAGCTTTTAATTACACTGTAATTGTAATATAAAAAAAATCTAGTGAACGATGGATGATGATATAAGAGTAAAAGATAAATGAACTCAGAAACAGAGTACATCTGTAATTTGGTAGATGTGAATTCAGACAGTTCATGTACTTCACACCAAGGTAAGAAGGAAAATGTCCATGGTGCTCTAGCATAAGAAAGATTCCTAACATCACAATCCTGGGGCTAGATTTTTTTCATGTCCATTGAAAAAAAAAATCATTTCATATTCCTTTTAACTTAAATGTACATGAAAAAGTGTACTTACTATAAAGACCAACTTTCCAATTAAGCACATCATTATAATAACTGAAAAAAGCTTATTCATGTAGCCCTTCCTTTTAAGGACTTTAAAGGTAAAACAGTCACAGAGAACAGAACACTTTGTGATTAAGAAGTTAGTGAGCTTGTTGTAGATGTACCTGGTTCTGGTAATCTGGTCGTGGATCATCTTGGAAGGAAACGAAAGGATTGTAATTCAATACAATAGGCAATCTGGACTTTAAGTACATGTCAAACCATGGCTCTAAAGAAAAAAAATATTACCTCAACTCTGGGAGCATGGAATATCACTAATTAATCTGTTAAAGTGTCAATTTATTAAAATCATACCTCTTGGTAAATACAATATTTTTTTTTTAATATCATTACTTTACAGCCTAAGTTTTGATGCAGTTTCATCTTTATTTTTCTCATGGCAGAATGAAACAAGAGGCCCAAGGGCCTTAATGATCACCTGAGTACAATACAGCAATTTAGAGGATCCATAAACTAATAAATGAAGCTTTGTTGCCCAAAAGCAAAAGAATAAATAGTATGATTATGATCAACAAAGTAATTGGTCTTAGTCTAGTATCCAATCTGTCTCCCATTTATCACTATTACCATGCAGACTATTAACAAAATGTCTAATTTTTAACCCCATATTATTACTTCTCACATTGGCCTCTCTTGGCCTTTGAAGAACATTTAAAAAGATAAGTTATTTTTATCTCATTTTTATTCATCTATTATTTCCAAGTCCACCTGATCATTAAAACTATGTTAGTACTTTTTTTGTATTACATGAATACAATAAATATTCTTGCATAATTCTCTTATTCTATTAACCATTCAAATGCATTATTTACAGTAATTAACAAAGGTGAATGGCAAAGGGGAATAACTTTGCTCAGCAGAATACAAATTAATAGAGCCCTGGCCAGGACGAGAACACTTGACTAAATGGTCCAGGTGTTCAAAATTCTGGTAAAAATACCCTTGCATATTAAAACTTTTACTCTGTTTGCCTCCAATATGCCCAGAAGCACAGATTTTCAAAGAAATGCATTTTTACTATATTATTAAATAAATGAAGCCCACCCTTACATCAGAACATCTGACCCAGGGGCCATGAACTCACAATTCTGGAAGAAGCACCCTTGCTCATCATAACTATACACTTGCTTCTTTGCTTTATGAATAGTAGTAGAAAAAAATATTTTGAAAGAAATTATGCATTTTTACTATATAATCAATAGAGCTTCACTAGAACCCCTGACCCAGGGGCCATGAATTTCAATATTTTTGGAAGAGGCATGCTTCCTTATCATAACCATCCTGGGTATTCTTGTTTGAATAATATCCAGGAGCAGAGAAGATTTTGAAAGAATTTATGCACGTTCCCTATATAATCAATAGAGCCCAGCCCTAACACCAGAACCCCTGACCCTGGGGCCATGAAATTCATAATTTCTGAGGAGGCAGCCTTGTTCATCATAACTATGTACTTATACACAGGACTAAAGACCATCTTTAAGCAATCGCTTAATGTTGGCTTAATGGTAGCTTAATGGTGGCTTATAGGAGTTAATTCCTTTAAGCCACCATTAAGCTACCATTAAGCTGCAGCTTCTAGGTGCTTAACATCCAAACTTCATTAAGCTACCATTAAGCCACCTTTAAGCTGCAGCTTAATGGTGGCTTAATGTCCAAACTTAATTAAACCACCTTAACGCATCCTTTATCAAGTCTTTAAAAAAACTTGTTAAGTGTAAAGTTGTTTCAATATCATTTATGCAAATTCTTATTCAATTCATAATTCTAACATTTTTGTCAATGCGTATAAACTCGGGAACTGAGAACAGCTTCACCGAATGCCTTAAAATTTTCACTATCTAAAATCAGTTTGCTGAAATACTTGTTTTAAAATTATTTTTATCCATAAACACATATGTATTAATTTTTTTTAAAAAATCACTTATTTTTCTTTTGTGTGTGGTGAGCCACGTTCCGCTGCCAAATTCATAGGAAATATTGTAATTAGTCATTTTCTTCTGGAAAAAAAGATATATCTCCAAGTCTCTTAATTTTTCTTTTGGTAGAGAAATGTTTAAGATATAAAAAAAAATATATAGGTATAGATTATATTGCCAATCATTGAATTCCATCATTAAATAATTTGAATTGATTCCTGGTTAAGTGCCATTATTTCTTCTTTATTTTAAAATAATGCAGATGTGAGAATTTAAAATAATGCAGAAGTAAGAACTTACCAAAATATAGTCAGTTTTCAATGATTGTTATTTCAAAATCAATTTTCAGAAGAACAGCCATCAGATTAAACATGGCATCCGACCAGATTTATACACACGGTGTGTTCCCCGAACGTCTACTGGACTAAACCAACATCTAATTATCACACTCAATTAAGGGGCCCTGTAAGGGGTACAGGTAGGATCTACAATCATTTATGAACTAGCTTTACCTGTATTTATTGAAGGAGGAATTATACAGTAACAATAATGTTTGACATCTCTTCTGAAACATGGTTTCAGCATGGAAATATTGATAAAAGATATTTATTGTTTTAACATGATTTTTTTTTCAGGGGAAATGTAAAAATCTTGAAGATTTTATGCATTTGTTAAAAAATGCTAAAAATAATGTGTTTTATTTTCATAAATAATTTTTTAGCAAAAATTAAAAAAAAAACCTTATCTCATTTTTCTTGACATTTTCTATTAAATATTTATATTATCCATTTATTTAGGGCAAACTTTAAACTCTAAAGGATCTTATTTGCAATTAAAACAAAACAATCTTTTCATTTTCTCCTAAAAAAGCCCCCAAAATTTATAAAAATTAATTTAAACTAATATCGATCTTTCCATACTTAAGCCATATTTCAGAGGAGACGTCTTAAAGATCGGTTAAATAAAATTTCCGTGAACATGTAAGTAGCATTCTTTCTTAAACAGGAAAAATCTATCGATCATATGTCATTTTAAATAAATTTTGCTTTAGATACTTTTGATTTAATTTAGTTTTAATCATTTCAAAGCATTAATTTTAAATATTATAACAATAAATAATTTCGAAATCTTTGTAAGTTAGTATCATAAAACTCAATCACAATATACATGTAACTTATTTTGGTAAAAAATCTATCAAGAAGAGTAAGATACGATTATATTTGAAAAAAAAAATCATTTTGAATTTTACCCCCCCCCCCCTTTAACTTTAGATATTGCTTCCAAACAAAGAGGTAGCAATGGTTTAAACAGTGGGAGAAGGGGCAACCCCCCAGAGAAATCTAACAAGTAAAATTTAAATAATTCAAAAAAAAAAAACCTTGAAAATCCTATTTTGTGTGTTCGTGTGTGGGGAGGGGTGGACTTTCTCTGTTTGTAGATTTTTTTTTCAAGTGCTGGAATATTCGCCAGAGCTCGACCTTACAGCAAAAGAGTGTAAGAGGGGGCAACATCTAAATGAAAATTTACATATTAGATCTAGAGGAATAGACTATACTACAGGAAAAGGCTTTGCTCAGAAAAATGCCCCCTCCCCCCTTTTCGTTCTATGGACCTGTAAATGCGATGTGAAAAAAGTTCTCCATGTTTAATATAGATTAAACAAAGCTTAAAATGTTAAAAGTGGTGTAAGTGATGCTTCAATTAAGTGCCAAGTGTTAGGTTAAAAAAAGTTATGCTTAATTGAAAATAATTTATAATAAATTATTTATTACATGTACATGTACATGAAAAAATATTTAATTGTTTAGTGCCTTCAGTTATAGCAAGTATTTGATCAATAAATCTATGCTTTAGTACACAGTTTTATCAGTAAATATTAACTTATTTGATTTTGACTACTTTGTTCAATCAAGGTAACACAGGTAAACTCTACCTGGACCCCTTAGAGGGCCTCTTAATTGAGTGTGATAATTAAATAGTTGTTTTAGCCAGTAGACGTTCAGGGAATAAACCATACACACTGGGAAGCGGGGTAAAATAAACAGTGGACAGTATATCAACTGGTTAGACAATAGACCTTAATTACATGTCCCCACCAGTCCCCGTCCGCTAACAGGAAACTATACACGGGAACATAGTGACAAATTTTGATGATCTATTATTTTTACAAAACTTAAAAAAAAATAATGCAAGTATATTACAAATTAAAAATTATGATTTTAGACAAAAAGACAATTATTTTGATACCCATAACGATATAAAAAGAACTAAAACTGAAGATGATATAAAAAACAATTTATAACTTAAATGTTACGCAAAGATTGTCATTTATATATATTTAGCACACAAAAAATCGTAAATATCAGCAGCATATTTATAGGAACTATAATCTGTTTTTTATTTTCCATCGTTCTCTTTCGATGATGTATTCCTTTTTAATAAAAATTTTTTGTTATATCTTGAATTTCAATCTTTTCATGCATAAAATTCTGCGAATAACAGAACGAGGAATTCAGTAACTTAAAATCATAAAGTTGTTTCATACAATCACATCGAACTCCGCTCCACGGTTAAGAAATATTAACGTTATATAAAACTTAATAACAGTTTCTTTTTAAAATATATATATATAAATATAATTATTCATATTATTGATTAATAAATATAAATATTAGAAAAAAATACATGTACTAGTACCAGTCCAAACAAGTTTTGTTAAAAATTAAGGTTTTATATTTCACCGTGAAATCAACGGCCCCGATAGCTCAGTAATTATAGAGTTCGCCCTCCAAACTAAAGGTCGAAGGATCAAATCCTGTTGGGAACGTTTTTTTTCTTTCTTTTACATTATTTTCGCCGAATTAACAAATGCGAAAACTCGACATTTATAATTTTTGTGAAGAAATCATTATAAAAATAATATTTAGCCCATTAAAGCAGTTTTATCGACTGTGTAATGGTGACTTAATGGTGGCTTAAAGGTAGTTTAATGGTAGCTTAATGGAGTTTGGACATTAAGCATCTATAAGTCTGGCTTAATGGTGACTTAAAGATTGTCTAATAGCTACCATTAAGCTCCTATAAGTCACCATTAAGCCACCATTAAGCTAACTTTAAGCACCCATTAAGGACTTTGAGATGGTAACTTAATGGTGGTGTATTTCTTACTTAAAGGTAGCTTTAAGGCCCCCATACCAAAATAAATACAAGAAAGTATACTTTAATGCTACTTTTATACTATATAAATTTGTGCTTTTTAGAAAAAGGTCAGAAAAAGTATACTTTTTTTGGA